AACACACGAATAATAGCTAACAAAAGGTACTAGAAAAAAGCTTGAAAGCCAAAACAAGTACAAAGCCGAAGAGTACCGAGGACCTAAACTTCCAAAAAGTTGCGCCTAACACGGCCAGGGTTTTCTGCCTGGGACAAGAACATCCTTATTATTTAGAATAATTTATAATTTTGCAAACAGTAAATTTTATAAAATGACTATATAATAGATATACATGATAAAACCGAAGTGGGGACTAACTACAGAATAAAAACGGATACATTACATAAAACAACTTAATCCAACATATAAAAATACACAGCCGAGTTAGCCAAAGCATCAACGCACAAAGTGACGTCACATTTGAAATTCTAAAAAAACACACAAAGTGACGTCACATTTGAATTTGTAAAAATATTTTCCAAAATTAAGATAGGATTAGGATTGATTTAAGATTAGATTTGTAATACTGACATTACATTTATTAATAACAATGAAAATTACAATACTTATTAATATCAAATTGTGGTAGTAATTAGATAATTAATTGTATTATCTAGCTATGTCGGTGTTTCTTCTGAATCAAACTGTAAACCAAATATATCGTATAAATTTCGTTGAACCAAACTAAAATCTAATAAATGAAGGGGGTGATTAATAATCTTTACCATAACACACGAATATAACAGAAAAGACGTTAAGACATTTGACAAAATCCGACGAGAATAACAAATATAACATCAAAATTGAATACATGAATTTGGGATAGAAAGGTACCGTGACACGTCTTATAGCAATGCGGTTTCACACTCAGCAAAACAGTCACAATCGGGAATAAGTCACGTTCGGTAATTAAAAGATCAGACGACGTAATGACAAACCACAATCTAACACGTGGTAAAAATGTCCTTAGTTAGTTTGGACAAAGACACATATCGTATGGACTAACCAATTCGTGATGGTCTCCGTAAAATTTACGGAGTGTCATTTTTAATCTGTCCTCATAACTTTGTTGGAGCAGTTTCTGTGTAAGGAGCACACTCCTGTATATAAAGTCCGTATAGTGTGAACAAGCACGAGAATAACGTATCAATTGAGATATGTAAACACCATACGAAGGGGCAGAGGGTATGTTACTGCTGAGAAATGGGAAATTGATAATTGGGAAGTTGAAATCGTCCCGTTTATCATAGATTTTCGTGTGAAGTCGTCTATCTGTGTCAATATTGAGGAAAAGATCAAGGTATGAAGCAGTCCTTCTAGTATCAGTAGTATCCTTAATTTCAAGTTCACTGGGATATATGAGATGTAAGTATTGGCTGAAATATGGGTTATTCAATGATAGAACATCATCAATATATCGGAAAGTAAAATTAAAGAATTTCGCAAGGTGCTTTTTCTTTTTGTCTTTTAGAAGGTTCTGAATGAATTCTGCTTCATACGAGAACAAAAACAAATCGGCCAGTAGGGGTGCACAATTAGTTCCCATTGGAATACCGACTGTCTGTTGAAATATAACATCCTCCAAACTCAACAAATATATTGTCCAACAAAAAGTCCAGCATTTTGATAATATCATCTTCAGTATATTTTTTGGTAGATTCAGTGTGGTTTTTCACAAAATATGAATTATTGTAACCCAAAACAAGAAATTTGTATCTACGATTCCCATTTTTATACAAAAAGCTCTGTTTAATGAGATGGTGAAGTCGATTTTTCAACTGAGCATGGGGAATAGTAGTGCAAAGCGTAGAAAAATCAAAAGTTTTTATGTTGCTGCAAAATTGCAAAGATTGTATTCATAGATTAAGCAGTAGATCTTTCGAATTTTTGAGAATCCACATCTGGTTAACACCACTGGTAGAACATATCTCATCACAATATTTTTGAAGCCCATCTTTAACTGTAGAAAGAATAGTAGTCAGTACTTTAGAAAGATGTTTAGTCGAACATTTTGATAACCCAGCTATGTATCGTTCTTTATATGGAGTTTTGTGTAGTTTTGGTATCCAGTATAATGATGGTAAATTTTCTTCGTTTTCTTTGATGTTGATACCAAAAGAAAGAAGGACAGATTTGTGATTTTGTAAAATTTCGTCCTTGGTAAATGATGTTTAAGAATATGTAGGGTTACCAGTAGTTCTATTAATTCCAAGCTCTGTTGTTAGACATAATGGTTTTTACATATGAAGACAATATTATTGGAGGCTTTATCTGCTGGAACAACGACATATTTGTCATGAAAAGAGGATAAAGCATCCACAAAATCCTGATGTTTGAAAGGGTTAGTAACTCTTGTGCTCATATTGCATCGTAGTTTTTGAATGCGCTTCTGAATGCATGATCGAATAGCTTTCTCCATTCGGACAAAGTGTCCAGTTCTGGTTCGTCTGGTTCGCGCTTTACCCATTTTCTTGCATAGTCCTCAACTGCATTCATCAGTAACTTGAAATTCTTTTTCCAGTTGATGGGCTGGGGAATTCTATATGTTGGTCCCTTGGCTAACAACTCTTTTAGTTGTTCATTGGTAACGATGCCAAGGTCACCAGTAATAACATGACCAGCTGGACTATACTTGTATTGTGACGATGCACATGAGCAATCCGGAGGCTTGGATTTCACATCTTTGAGGTTAAAGGCCTCCAAAACTCTCTTGTGGTTGAAAATCTTGGATGCAATAGAAATAACAGGTGTAGCTTTATTTTTGAAGTAATCAGGTATAGTTTTTTGTACAGACTTCTGATGGAAAATATTGCTAATATTTACAGCATCTAAACCTTTATTGGCGAATTCTACCTTAAAAAAATTACGTGTTTCCTCATTTTTGGATGTAGTCGATACGGGTTTGAATAGTCTATGGTTAGCAATGTCCATGATTATTGCAACTAATCTATACAAAACAGAACGAGAGAATCAGTAACGGAAGTATTTTGTGCCTCTTGAAATAGTAAAAAAAGTTTTGACAATGGAATGGAGTATAATTTAGTTCTGATATGATGAATTCCTAAAGGTTTTTGAACAGACGTTAACAGACTATCAATTGTCACGGTGTGCACAGCAGGTGGTATATATTTTCTGTGACCGTTTCAATTACCGTTTCAATCCCTAACATCACTGAAGAGACATTAATTGTCGAAATCCGGATATGGTGTACAAATTTTTGCAATCATGTTTGCGGTACACCATCTTCTCCGCGGGTTTATTGTTTTCTGTTTGGTATAAAATTAATAATTAAGATCCATGTCACATCTCATGTTCAATTTATTTGGCAATCGTCAATTGCAGTCAGCAGGGTTTAAGAACATTCAGTTGTTCGACCTGTTAGTCAAATGCGATTTGTTAAAATATACTTTTCACCTTTTTGGTCTTTTGGAAAATGTTGTTTGTGCTGTAGTAAGACCCCTCTACCAAGAAATTTGTTTTACATGCACACGTATAAAAATTGCAGTTTTTATCCAACGCAATCATAGGTTTGAACGTTGTTTTCAATTTAGACTTGTTTATATTTTTTTCGTTTGGGATTGCATTATATTTTCCTTCGGGCTTATATGATCCGTTCATCCTATTTCGATTCTTTAAAATTCAAGAGTCTATCCTAAATTGAGGTAAATTATATGGCCTTCCAAATACTGTTTCGATCCCTAACATCATTGAAGAGACATTAATTGTCGAAATCCGGATATGGTGTACAAATTTTTGCACCTCATGTTTGCGGTATACCATCTTCTCCGCATGTTTATTGTTTTCTGTTTGGTATTAAATTAATAATTAAGATCCATGTTAAAATATACTTTTCACTTTTTTGGTCTTTTGGAAAATGTTGTGTGCTGTAGTTAGACCCCTCTACCAAGAAATTTGTTTTACATGCACACGTATAAAAATTGCGGTTTTTATCCAACGCAATCATAGGTTTAAACGTTGTTTTCAATTTAGACTTGTATATATATATATATATAATTATAAACTGTTATCACAGAGATATGTCTCGCTTTTTGGTTATTTCGATAATGCAAATGTTGAAATTAAAATAGCAACACTTGTACATGTAAGTTTTGCAAATATTAAAAGTCAATGAATCATGACTGAAGGTACATGGCCAAACAATCTCCATGGAAATGAAATGTGCCAATTCTAATACAACTGCATACCAAATACCATTGACTTATCATAAGTAGTTCCCTTTAAACAAACCTAAACACAAACTAATACATGTAAACTAAGCAAAATTTCAAATTCAATAAACCATAACTAAGGCGGCGGGGTCAAATAATCTCCATTGTAATGAGATGTACCAATGCTAATACAACTGCATACCAAATATCATTGACCTACCACTAGTGGTTCCCCATGAACCGACCTAATCACAAACTAATACATGAAAACTAAGCAAAAGTTTCAAAGTCAATAGACCATGACTGAGGGGGCGGGACCAAATAATCTCCATGGAAATGAGATATGCCAATACTAATACAACTGCATAAGAATATCTTTAACTTACCACTAGTGGTTCACCATAAACTAGACCTAATCACAAACTAATACATTGTTGATGCCACCACACGTCGGCATACCTATGTCTCGCTTTTTGACTCCGTCAAGCGAGACAATAATTATGGAAATATTAAATTTCAGAAACACTTTTCCAGGTGAGTCAATTTACACTCAACAAATATAATAAATACCAAATTTCAAATCAAACCAAAGCATAGCTTCAGAAAAATCGATCAAATTCTTAAATTAGTAAAAAAAAAAGAGAAAATTTTGTAATATAGAAAATGAAAATACATTACAACTCACAGTATCATAATAAATGCCATATTACAAATCAATGCACTGATGCTGATTAATTCTGATTTGAACAAAATGTAAACTAGAGGCTCTCAAGAGCCTGTGTCACTCACTTGTATTTACTGATGCTTTGGAAATCAGGTAAAATAAGGTTAAAATCATAATTAATAGTATTAGATATTAGACATTATAATGATATCTAAGATAATAACAAACTAGAGGCTCTCAAGAGCCTGTGTCGCTCACCTGTATTTACTGATGCTTTGGAAATCATGTAAAATAAGGTTAAAATCATAATTAATAGTATTAGATATTAGATATTATAATGATATCTAAGATAATAACAAAAATCTGTAAAATTTCTGTAAAATTACTAACTCAGGGGCAGCAACCCAACAACGGGTTGTCGGATTCGTTTGAAAATTTCAGGGCAGATAAATCTAAATCTGATGAACATTTTGCCACCTGTCAGATTTGCTCTAAATGCTTTAGTTTCAGAGATATAAACCAAAAACTGCATTTTACCTCTATGTTCTATTTTTAACCAAGTCGGCCATGATGGTTGGAAGGCAGGGTCATCGGACAAATTTTTAAACTAGATACCCTAATAATGATTATGGCCAAGTATGGTTAAATTTGTCTCAGTAGTTTCAGAGAAGAAGATTTTTGTAAAAGATTACAAAAATTTACGAAAAATTGTTAAAAATTGACTATAAAGGGCAATAACTTCTAAAGGGGTCGACTGACAATTTTGGTCATGCGACTTATTTGTAGATCTTACTTTGCTGAACATTATTGCTGTTTACAGTTTATCTCTATCTATAATAATATTCAAGATAATAACCAAAAACTGCAAAATTTCCTTAAAATTACCTATTCAAGGGCAGCAACCCAACAACAGGTTGTCAGATTTGTCTGAAAATTTCAGGGCAGATAGATCTTGACCTGATAATCAGTTTTATCCTATGTCAGATTTACTCTAAATGCTTTGGTTTCAGAGATATAAGCCAAAATCTACATTTTACCCCTATGTTCTATTTTTAGCCATGGCCGCCATCTTGGTTGGTTGGCGGGGTCATCGGACACATTTTTTAAACAAGATACCCTAATGATGATTGTGGCCAAGTTTGGTTAAATTTGGCCCAGTGGTTTCAGAGGAGAAGATTTTTGTAAAAGCTAACGACGACGGACACCAAGTGATATGAAAAGCTCACTTGGCCCTTTGGGTCAGGTGAGCTAAAAATGAGCATATAACCAGGTTAAAGATGAGCTTAAAACAAGAAAATGCAACAACTAATACAAAAGAGAGACAGAAGATACCAAAGGGATAATCAAACTCATCTAAGGTGAAGCCATGATAAATAAAGAGCTGCGCCATGAGCGCATGATACCGCAGTCGTTTTTTCAAAGAATAAAGTTCCATAACTCCTCAATGTCATATCAGAAATTATAAAAACTAAAAGGAAGTTATTTTAATGTATATAAAACAGTCACAAATTATCATGAAAACTGCTCAAAGCACTTTTTGGGGCTTATTGTCAGCAATCTAGAAAATCCACTTTTTTATGAATAAAATATACTTTCAAAAGATTGCTTCAGACATCTTCTCTTAACCATAAAAAAACTTCTGCCAAAGTTTCATAAAATTCTATGAAGCTTTGACAAAGTAATTGATGTGTAACAAACTGTATCGACTTCTTAATTGTTTAAAAAATGTATCAGTAAAATACAAACTAGAGGCTCTCAAGGACCTGTGTCGCTCACCTGTATTTACTGATGCTTTGGAAATCATGTAAAATTAGGTTAAAATCAAAATTAATAGTATTAGATATTAGATATTATAATGATATCTAAGATAATAACAAATAAACTGCTTCGCTGAGCGCAGCTAGATACGCCCGCAGAGGTCCAACCCTGAACAGTTGGGGCAAAAATGGACACAATATTCAAGCTTGATTCAGGTCTGATTTTGGATTGTAATTAAATATTTGACATATTATAGGTTTCTGAATAAATGTATTCAAAGAACTTGAAATTGGTTATATGAATTGAATTTATGTTCAATTAAAGATTTCTTGCTGTTGTGCAATACTTAGTAAATCTGTTGTCAGACTATAAACAAATAAAGATCAATTAATTCTCAATGTCATATTAGAAATTTATGAAAATAAAATTCGTAAGGGTTCCGCGGAACCCAGTGTCTCGCCTACTTTTGCTGTTAATCGCAGGCTCAACAAAAATGAGGAAAAAAATTAATAAAAATATTCCTCTCTATACTATCTTTTGATTGTAAGTAGCTTCTGTCCAAGTTTGGTAAAAATCCAGGATAGTTTATGAATCTAATAAATGTTTTAAAAACTTAAAGTGCAGACTGTATGTAATGTTAACTGGAAGAAAAACTAAGTCCATTTATAAGTAAAATACGGAAAAAACGGAATTTTTTTTTTACAAAATTTACTTCTGGATACTTTCTTTTGATCATAAACAAGCTTCTTTCCAAGTTTGGTAGAAATCCAGGATAGTTTAAGAAAGTTATTAAAATTTCAAAAACTTTAACCACAGAGTGAATATTTGTGGACGCCGCCGACGACAACGACGACGACGACGACGACGACGACGCCGACGGAATGTAGGATCGCTAGGTCTCGCTTTTTCGACAAAAGTCGAAGGCTCGACAAAAAAGGGAGCTTACATCAATAGATATAAACAATTCTCCAAAGTTTCATGAGAATTAATGACAGCATTTTTGAGTTATTGTCAGAAAACTGGAAAATAACCTCTTATTTTAATGAATAAAACCCCATAACTCAGAAATGTAAAATGTAAAATTTATAAAATTCTAAAGGGAGTTGACAACAATACATACAAACAATTCACCAAAGTTTCATAAGAATTGCTGAAAGCATTTTTGAGTTTTTGTCCGAAAACTGGAAAATCCCCCCTTTTTTTTATGAATAAAACCCTGTAACTCGGAAACGTAAAATCTAAAATTTTTAAAAATCGAAAGGGAGCTCATATCAATAGATATAAACAATTCACCACAATTTCTTGCAAGTTGGTGAAAGCATTCTGGACTTATTGTCAGAAAACTGGAAAATCCCCCTTTTTTTAATGAATAAAACCCCATAACTCGGAAACGTCAAATCTAAATTTTATAAAAAAGGAAAAGGAGCTCACGTCAATAGATATAAACAATTCACCAAATTTTTATGCAAATTGGTTAAAGCATTTTTGAGTTAATGTCCGACATGTTGACGACGGACGGACAGACGACGGTATACCATAATACGTCCCGTAAACGGGCGTATAAAAACTGCAAAATTTCTGTAAAACTAACTCAGGGGCAGTAACCCAACAACGGATTGTCAGATTCGTCTGAAAATTTCAGGACAGATAAATCTAAATCTGTTAAACATTTTTGCCACCTGTCAGATTTGCTCTCAATGCTTTAGTTTCGGAGATATAAACCAAAAACTGCATTTTACCCCTATGTTCTATTTTTAACCATGTCGGCCATGATGGTTGGAAGGCGGGGTCATCAGACAAATTTTTTAAACTAGATACCCTAATAATGATTAAGGCCAAGTATGGGTTAAATTCGTCTTAGTAGTTTCAGAGAAGAAGATTTTTGTAAAAGATTACAAAAATTTACGAAAAATTGTTAAAAAAATGACTATAAAGGGCAATAACTCAACTTTATTGCTGTTTACAGTTTATCTCTATCTATAATATTCAAGATAATAACCAATAAAATGCTCCGCTGGGGCGCAGCTTGATACGACCGCAGAGGTCGAACCCTGAACAGTTGGGGCAAGTATGGACACAACACTCAAGCTGGATACAGCACTGAATTTAGATTGTAATTAAATATTTGACACAGCATAGGTTTCTGACAGAATGAAAGTGGTCTAAAAAAAATTTAATTTACCTATTCAAACCATATCATTATTATTAGCTTTTATATATAAATCAGAAATAACCAATTTAAAATGGAAAATTTTAAAGAAAAAAAAAATCCCCCCCCCAAATGATTCATCACCCCCAAACTCAATCCCAGCCTTCCCTTGTGGTATGGTACCTTGCAGTACAATTTCAGAGAGATCCATACACTTGAACACAAGTTATTGTCTGGAAACTAGAAAAATGCTTGTTTTTTTGGCCCCAAATTCCTAAACGTTTAGAGCAATTACCCCCAAACTCAAACCCAGCTTTTCCTTTGTGATATGGAACCTTGCAGTACAATTTCATAAAGATCCATACACTTACACACAAGTTATTGTCCTGAAACTAGAAAAATGCTTTTTTTTTTTGCCCTTTTATGGCCCCCAATTCCCAAAATTTTGAGGGAATTACCCCCAAAATCAATCCCAGCCTTCCCTTTGTGGTATGGTACCTTGTAATACAATTTCAGAGAGATCCATACACCTGAATACAAGAAATTGTCTGGAAACTAGAAAAATGCTTATTTTTGGCCCCTAATTCTTAACTTTTTGGGCAATTACCCCCAAAATTACTCAATTCCAGTTTTCCCTTTGTGATATGGAACCTTGTAGTACAATTTCATAAAGATCCATACACTTACACACAAGTTATTGTCATGAAACTAGAAAAATGCATGTTTTTTGCCCTTTTTTGGCCCCTAATTCCTAAAATTTGGAGGCAATTACCCCCAAAATCAATCCCAGCATTCCCTTTGAGATATGGAAACTTGTGGTACAATTTCAGAGAGATCCATTCACTTACACACAAGTTATGTCTGGAAGTTACAAAAATGCTTATTTTTGGTCCCTAATTCCTTAACTTGGTACCATAACCCCCAAAATCAATCCCCACCTTCCTTTTGTGGTATTGAACCTTCTGGTAAAATTTCAAAGAGATCCATTCACTTAAACTAAAGTTAGAGTGCGAAAAGTAATGTGTCTTCGGACGACGACACCAACGTCATACCAATATACGACCACCAAAATTTTTTTTGTGGTCGTATAAAAACTGCAAAATTTCCTTAAAATACCAATTCAGGGGCAGCAACCCAACAACGAGTTGTCAGATTTGTCTGAAAATTTCAGGGCAAATAGATCATGACCTGATAATCAGTTTTACCTCTTTGTCAGATTTACTCGAAATGCTTTGGTTTCAGAGATATAAGCCAAAATCTACATTTTACCCCTATGTTCTATTTTTAGCCATGGCGGCCATCTTAGTTGGCGGGGTCATCGGACACATATTTTAAACTAGATACCCTAATGATGATTGTGGCCAAGTTTGGTTAAATTTGGCAAAGTGGTTTCAGAGGAGGAGATTTTTGTAAAAGCTAACGACAATGGACGACGGACGCCAAGTGATGAGAAAAGCTCAATTGGCCCTTTGGGCCAGTTGAGCTAAAAAAATGAAAATATTTTCAAAAATTTTGCTCTGGATATTGTATTTTAGACATTAGAAAAGCTCCTGTCCAAATTTTCATAAAATTCAATAAGGTTTGACACAGTTATTGATGACTGAAAAACTTTAACCTCAAATGTCAGAGCTTGAATGTTAACTGTAAATAAAAGAACAGAGCTCCAATGTCCCTGTGTTGCACATATTTATCTGTCCAAGGACAATAACTTAATTTGGTTTTTTTTAATAAATATCTTGGGAGAAATGAAGGCTCGAGAGCAAATGCAATGCAATTTCCAATAAAATTAATGTTTCCAAGGGGCATAAATCTTTTAAAAATTTTAGATTTGCACTGAATTTTTAAATTTTCCGCGACATTGCGGATATAAAATTGACAAATCTGGCAAGAATTGTACATGAGAGCGCTAACAATGCAATTTTCCATATAATTAATATTTTCACAGGGGACAACTCTCTAAAAATAATAGATAAGTGATGATCTGAGACATTGCCTATATAAACCTATGTTATAAGTTTTATAAAAATCTGGCAAGAATTGAACTCGCGAGAGTGCTAACAAGACCGGACTGTATTTCTACGTCCCCCTTCAACATGTTGCATGACGGACTAAAAACTAAGTCCATTTATCAGTAAAATACAGCAAAATGAAAATAAATATGTTCAAAATTTTGCTATAGATACTGTATTTTGGTCATGAACAAGCTTCTGTCCAAATTTCCTTAATTCCATGAAGGTTTGATAATGTTATTGATGTCTAAAAAAACTTTAACCACATACTGAACCTAAATCACTATGTCTCGCTTTCAGTCGCAGGCTCGACAAAAATATGTGAACTCCTTCTCAGGTCTGATGAGGTGGTAGTTTATAACTCCCAGAAATTAACAATTTACATTGCAAATCATGTTACAACTGCTGGACCTTTAGAAAAATCAAATAACAAAGAAATACTAGATAAAAGACATTTTATTAAAATTCTCTGTTTTAACTCCAAGTCCACTGTTGATTCTAACTCATCTATTGCCTAATCAAGCAAAGATGGTAATGGAACTGAAAGCATAGTTAAAAACGTACACCTGATCAAAATTTGTTAAAAATACAATATTTTAATAACAATTGACTGACAAATACATCCTTTAAAAAGCAGTTTTGAGATCTGGATATGGATCCATTGCAGTAGAATTCTACCAGAATATTAGTTTTCTATAGGATAATAAACAAATCATTACAATAATGGCTTGTAGAAATGCATGTCTACAACTTCCCTGGTCATTCAACAAGTATAAAAACAGATAGACTGATTTTTAGTGTTATAAATATACTCATTTAAAAAAAAAGCCATTTTGTTATAGACTTCTAAAAAGGACAAAGATTAACTTTTCTTTCAAAATATTTACTTTATTAGACATCACATTTGACTATGCCATTAGACTGATACCATTTACAAGAGAATTTTTCACGGCCAGATGGTATTCTTTGACCTTGGCTGTTGATAGTCTTGCCATTTTTAATGACTGTATGGCAGGTGTATCTTTTCACAGTACATGGACATACAAGACAAATTCGATCAATAGTGTGTACAACAAAAAATGAAATATACATTTTTTAAAATAACTTACTTTCATGCATTTCAAACAATTATTATTTGAGAAAACATTCAGGGGATGTCTTGCAAGTTTGATATGAAAATGAGTGTTATCATATAGGCAAATGTACCAATACAAACCAAATCAGCCAATGGATTCTGTTTTAGTGATCTTTATTACCCCTTATTAGAATCAGAGCCACTTGGACCATGATACCCATCTTACCTGAAAGTGGACATCTCTCCATTTATACCTACTAGATTTTCTAACCTTTATGTTTTAATATGTATAATTTTAGACGATAAAATAATGATAAACAAAAGCTTTCAATTATGTCAAACTACATGTACACAATCACTGTAAGTATTTTCTTATCAAGCAACTTACTCAAAAATAATGTCGGGTCAAAGATTCCCATGTTAAATCAGTCATATTTTTAACAGACTTTACAACTATCTAGGGTTCTTAGTAGTAGTACATGCTACTTGATTGATGATTTTATTTTTCGTAGCAATGAGCGGCAAGTCTGGAGATTTAAGTTAAACCTAACACTTGCTAAAGACATTATTTCTTAAAATCTCAAAATATGGCATACTGTAGAAAAATTGACCTATGGTACTTTATCGTGCAAAAATCTGTGCATTAAAACACGTTATAAAATACACTGAGCTTGAGAGTTTGTTTCAATGAGGGTGATTTATCCTTATGAACTAGACGATGAACGATAGATGATAATGACTTAATTACAATGTTTAAATATTTACAATATAAAAAAACATCTTGATTTAATCAGTTCCTGGTTGTGGTAGAGTATATAGACGGATAATACTTTCTACTCAAATTCATTCAAAATTTCTTGAACCTTTTATTTTTCATGCCCATAAAATTGAAGTTCAAACTATAACTAAAGGTTCTTAATTAATATTAACTTTTCCAATAATTTAAAAATTCCAACTTTTTTTGCTACCACAACCACAGCTCACATACAAGTATTTAAAAACCTGAATGTAAAAACAGCACTAAAGTATGTGCAAAATATCTGCTGGTTGACAAGAGATGTTCTGATCCCCTACTTTAATGAACAAGATACAGCCTTATGATTTAGAGTCGTCTTTGTTATCTTCGTCTTCATTATCATTGTGTGTATGCCACGTAAGTCTTTCTTCATAAAATGCTATAACAATCTGTGGACATTTAACATTTGCTTGTCGTGCTGGCACTAAATCTGCTTCATCACTGTCTTTCCTGTAAAAACATGTACAAAATTTAAAGTATTTATCAAAGAATCCAGATTTTTTATGACTAATACAAGTTAAATGCCATTGAAGATGTATATATATCTATGAAAATAAAATAAATTATTTGCACCACTGCTTGTTTATCCTTATATTGGTCATCTGCATTTTATTCAACTCTAAAATCAGCATGTGAAGAAAAAATTTGCGCATATGGAACAGAAATGGCACATAGAGTGGCAAATGTAAGCGCCAGACACATCACTCTGACTCTGAGCAGACTACTACAGGTTACTCCTTAATGCCCTGTGCTAGTTGGTGAAGGTGCAAAAACCAGTTTTAAAGTCTATGGTTTGACCTGGCACGGCATTGATCCAATGAGGCAGGAACACTATCACATGACCAAGGAGGTATACATTTATATATAGGTATACATATTAAAATCTGGAAAATATATGTTTTATTTCAAAAATGTTGCATCAATATCTTTTTAACCCCTTCGCCCCCAATCCCGCCTGAAGTCGTGATGGCGACCATTCTTTGATGGCCTGTATGACCCTCCATATTTTTTCAGAACTGCCCCAGCTCAACTGGCTTTACAGCAGAGACTTCAACCATGCAATTCATGGTCCATAAACTCTTCTCAGTTGTGTGATTATGAAAATATGGCAACTCTAATGGCCTTTTTAGAGTTCAAAATCGGAAAAACGTGTAAAGTAGCCAAAATCAGGTGGGGATGGGCGTCTTTTTATGGCCACTACGTTACTGGTATGGGCTGTAGGTATCAAATATTATCATAAATACATGCATAGATGGTACAGGAACACAAGGAGGTATAATATGGCCAAAAAAAAATGTGGTCTGTAAAATCTAGGTCACCGTTTTGTCAGAAATCGGTAAAAACGGACATTTAGGCATACTTGGCTAGCCAATAATTCCTCAGCAAGATTCTCAAGTCACATTTACTTCCAGTCAGTATGGATAGACTGCTGTAACTGTAAGGTACTACATGAATGACAAAGAAACACAGTTTAGTCAATGTTCACCCCTCAAATGACCATTTTTCAGTAGGGATGGGTTCAAACCCACCAGAAAATATACCACCTCCCACCCCATCCCCACCCATGCCATCTGCCCCCAAATCTCAATACATAGTTTAATAGATTAGCATCAGTTACAGCATCAAGAGTCTACTAATTTTCATATACATTGCATAAGTTTGCAAATTTTGGAAAATGCCTGATTTTCCAGAAATCTCTTGGGGTCGAATGAGTTAAATGACACCATACCATTTCATTAAGAACATTAGTTCCCCAGAACTGTCTGTTGCACCTATAATTCTTTCTGGCTGTAGCCCTCTGTCAAATCCTCGTGGTTTGTTATCCTCTTCCTATCAAAAAATAAACAATAGTTTAATATTAAATAACCCATTGGTGAATTTGTTTTGTAGGAGTTGTGTAGTGAACTATTTGCAATATAGAGACATCAGAATGTAAGAAGTTTTTATAGTTGTGCTTTAGAAAAACTGCACTTTTTGGCTGTCACATGCATGTGCAAGGAATGACTGATGCACCCCAAGAACTTTTCTGTTCTGTTCTGTTTTCAATGTTTTTAATTTAAATTTGATATGTCTTTTATTGCATCACTTCTCCCTAATTTTGACACACCTCTTTCTTGTTGAAATGCCAACACATTGCTACCTATTTTGTCTAATTTAAGGGCTTTCTACAATACTTTGATGGTCAGCATCAATACATTATGTCGTATTTAAGTTAGAATGACAATGTTAGTGTCTACAACTTTTAGATTTGAATACTAGAGGCTCCTAGGAGCCCAAATCTATCAGTTTGATGTATTTTTCCCAAAAAGAAAAACCTCCAGAAGCCTGTATTTCTCACCTAATTATTTCTGTCAAAATATAACTAGAGGCTAGGAAGGGAAGTTTAATTACTGAATGTGGGTCATGGGTCTTTTTTCAGTATGCGTCTATTACCATTATGCAAAATTATCTAAAAAATGAAAATATTCAATTTCTACAAGGTATCAATCAAAGTTTTGATATATCATATGCTTATGTTCAAATAAAAGATTTAATATGGCATATACATGTCTATTTATCAGAGTTTAAGAAATATATTTAAGAGTTTGTCAGTCCTTGTGTCTTATGTATTATTTTCTGTAGTTATTTATATTATAAAACACTCCAGATTTTTGGTGGGTGTCAAATTTGCTCTGATCTCAGATAAATGTGCATAACTATTCAAAGGAAGTGACGTTTTCAAAAGGCTGCGTCAGTAAATTATGTTTTTAACCATGATTAATACATGTTTTTAGGGATTTAGATAAATGTTGCGCATCAACCGTTGATATTCATGAAGGTTCATAGACATTCTATACATGCACATGTAAATGGAGAAATGAACAAAAATGCATACAGACTATAAACTATTGAGTGCTATTACAAGAAAAAATGCACGGGGGTATCAGAAGGCATGTTTTGTTAAGACCTACCACACATGGATTTTTCTAGCATTCCACGGGGTTCGATCTTCAGAGCCATTCCCAATGGCAAAACCCCAACATTTTTCCAAATTTAGGGAGGAAAATTTCCCAAATGATCTCATTTTCAGAAGAAGTTTCAAAGAAAATTGTTGAAATTACATTTACACCTATTTCATTATGACAGTAATGTTCTTTTCGTTCAACTGCTAGCTTTATGCCAAAAATCGCCAACAAGTAATGTAAAAAAACATTTCTGACTTACAAAAACAACTTTGACAAATGGCGGCTTTAGACCAGAAATGTAGACAAATGCAATACCAGATCAGATTCCTGAAGAGGATATATAATTAATTCCAAGTTTGTCAATCAAATACAAAAAAACAAAAAAATTGCTGCAGGAGACAAAATACAGCTTCAATATAAACTTTGGAAATGAAAACCAAAAGATATATGAAGAATAAACAGGAAATATTTTATACAGAAACTCTAAAGATATTTTTAGTCCACAAATTTTCATTTCAAAATTCAATAAAATGTTTCATTACTTTTCTTTATCACTAAAAAATTTTGATATTGGATGTTTTTATAATGTGAACACATTACTACAAATCTAGGAGGTAATTTTTCTCAATTTTGAAGGGCAAGTGAATTTAGAAAAGTGTTAGCCTGCTTTGCCAGTTAAAAAAAAAATCTTATTTCTACCCCATAACTTATTTTTATCTGTAACTGTCTTTGAAGGTGAAAAAGGCTGTAAAATCTTTTCACAAGTGTGCTTTAAGAAGTACATTATTCTGACACTAAAATAAACTTCAATGCCTTGTTGTAAAGATTAATAAAATGCTCCGTTGGGCACAGCTTTATACGACCGCAGAGGTCGAACCCTGAACAGTTGGGGCAAGTATGGACACAACATTCAAGCTTGATACAGCTCTGAATTTGGATTGTAATTAAATATTTGACACAGCATAGGTTTCTGACACAGAATGAATGTGGTCTAAGAACTTAAAAAATTTTAATTTACCTATTCAAACCATATCATTATTATTTGCTTTGATATATAAATCAGAAATAACCAATTTAAAATGGAAAATTTTAAAGAAACCCCCCCCCCCCTCCAAATTTTTTGAACCCCCCTTATGATTCATCACCCCCAAACACAATCCCAGCCTTCCCTTTGTGGTATGGTACCTTGCAGTACAATTTCAGAGAGATCCATACACTTGAACACAAGTTATTGTCCGGAAACAAGAAAAATGCTTGTTTTTTTGCCCCAAATTCCTAAACGTTTAGGGCAATTACCCCCAAACTCAAACCCAGCTTTCCCTTTGTGATATGGAACCTTGTAGTACAATTTCATAAAGAGCCATACACTTACACACAAGTTATTGTCCTGAAACTAGAAAAATGCTTGTTTTTTGCTCCAAATTCCTAAAATTTTGAGGCAATTACCCCCAAAATCAATCCCAGCCTTCCCTTTGTGGTATGGTACCTTGCAGTACAATTTCAGAGAGATCCATACACTTGAACACAAGTTATTGTCTGGAAACTAAGAGAAAAATGCTTATTTTTGGCCCCTTATTCCTAAACGTTTTGGGCAATTACCCCCAAACTCAATTCCAGCTTTCCCTTTGTGATATGGAACCTTGTAGTACAATTTCATAAAGATCCATGCACTTACACACATGTTAATGTCATGAAACTAGAAAAATGCTTGTTTTTTGCCCCTTTTGTGGCCCCTAATTCCTAAAATTTGGAGGCAATTACCCCCCATTATCAATCCCAGCATTCCCTTTGTGATATGGAACCTTGTGGTACAATGTCAGAGAGATCCATACACTAACACACAAGTTACGTCTGGAAGTTACAAAAATGCTTATTTTTGGCCCCTTTTGGGCCCCTAATCCCTTAACTGTTGGTACCATAACCCCCAAAATCAATCCCAACCTTCCTTTAGTGGTATTGAACCTTATGGTAAAATTTCATAGAGATCCATTCACTTTAACTAAAGTTAGAGTGCGAAAACCAATGTGTCTTCGGACGACGACGACAACGTCATACCAATATACGACCACAAAATTTTTTTGCGGTCGTATAAAAACAATAAAATGGACAGAAAAATAAAATTATAAATGGCAATCATGTAATTTCTTACTTTATTTTCACCAAAAAAGATCATTTCAAATGAACTAGACACATTAAAACTCACATCCGGTATATTTGTTGTTTTTCCCCAATTTCATTGAAAATCGTGTAAAAAATTCCCAAACTATCCAGGGTCCTTTTCCCCAAAATACCCAGAAAATCTGACCACCCATACAATTTTATATAAAAGAGGTGTTAACCATTGTAAAAACTGTTCTAAAACCCATTACCCATATATTATAATATAAAATGCCTTCCAACTCCCTCCCCCATATTTTTTTTCTAGAATAGCCCTGAAGCGAAACTAAAATGGATAAAATGAGAATGATGTCAATGAATGTATTAACACCTCCCAACCTTCCTTACGGTGGATTTAGCGTCTGCCACTTTTTTTTTCTTTTTTGCTGCTCCCTCATCTGGTCCATTGGTTGATTTTCTTTTCTTTTCCAAATCTTTCTTCTTTTTCTTTTCTTCAAACTCCTCTATGAGATCAGGACAGTCTAGGTTTTCCATAGGTTCCCATGTATTTTCTGAACTGTAATATTAAAGCAGACATGCCATGCAAAAAAAAAATCAAGAAACAATCTTTCATAGCTTATTATAGGTTTGGGTTTTGCTCAGGCCAAATAAACATATGTGTGGTTCTAGTAAGGGCTGTTCCAGAAAATTCTATGTCCCCACCCCCCCCCCCCCCCCCCCCCCCCCCCCCCGACCCTAGAACTTTTTTTTCCATTTTGGAAAAATAAATTTTGAACAATCCCATTTTGTGGAATGTGAATTTCAATAATTAAATTCACAGACTTCTGTCATCTGAATTTTCAATAGAAATATCCACTAGGGCTAAAAAATGCAAAAAAAATCAACAAAAAATAAATGGGGAATGTGTCCATGGGACACAGATGATGCCCCCGCTTGCATATAATCTTATAAAGGGATATAACTCAAGAACTGTAAAAGTGACGCTACCCAAATTTGTACTTGATCTGAGTTTTGTGGTAATAATCATTGTGTATACGTTTCATAACATTTGGTTGAGGCAAACTACAGTAAGAGAACAGAAACGAAATATTCAGCAATTTTTCCATTTGTAGAGGGCACAACTCTAGAACGGCAAAAGTATCGCCACCAAAATTCAAACTTGATCTGAGTTTGTGTTAATAAGCATTTTGTATAAGTTTCATAACATTTGGTTGAGGCAAACTGAAGTTAGAGAATGGAAACAAAAAATTTAGCAATTTTTCCATTTGTAAAGGGGCATAACTCTAGAACGGTTAAAGTGATGCCACCAAAATTCAAACTTGATCTGTGTTTTGTGGTAATAAGCATTGTGTATAAGTTTCATATCATTTGGTTGAGGCAAACTAAAGTTAGAGAACGGAAACCAACTTTGGGACGTACGTATGGTCAAGGGTAAAACTTAATGCCCCCTCCGCTACGGCAGGGGCATAAAATCACAACATGTCTGTTTATTATACAACTAAACATAAAGAAAATGTTATACTTCTGGTAGTGGCGTGTATAATAATGGATTAAGGCTAGCAGGCCTCTTCATTATCATTTTTTCTAACTTGTCCATTTAGACATGTATCAAGAAAATCAATTTGCTTGACTTCTTAACTCACTTGTCCGAATCCAAGGTTAAAAATCTTAAACATTGATAATATGCAGAGTCACACATTGGGCTTTTAGAGAACCTGATGAAGGCAGTAACTTGTTGTGTTGTATAGATTTGTCTGTAACTAAATAAAGAATATCACATCAAAAAGTGTTTTTTTATTATTACTATTATTAAAGGTTATTTTCCATTCCAAAGTAAGTTCTTTGACTAAATATCACTATCATGTGAGTTTTTGGCTATATCTTCAATTTCCCCCTACCAGATTTCAAATTTGTGGGAAATTTCATTTTCTGAACCTGTTATTTGTACTATTGTTTGTTTTCAATAAATATAATATTCAAGAAATTATTATTTTTTAATAATGTTTTTTTTCCACTATTGACTTATAAATACTTATTAAATTTCCCCCAAAACTATCACGACTATGAGATACTGTTTTATATTTACTGATCTACAAATTTCCCCAAAATCTTTTAAATAGTGTCTCATATAAACTGATTCTCTAACTTCCCCCAAAACTATAAAACATTGTCCTTCAAAATTATGAAAATGACTGAAATCTGTCCTTTTTTCACCGTTAATAACCTGGTTATATCAAATTTCCTGGGGTGGTGGGGATGAGGATGAAAGAACATATCCATTCTATAGTCATATGGGTGCTGCTGCAATAGTAAATAAGTATTTTCTTAAATAATTTTTTATTTTGATTCTGTCTCGCAGGTAAACAATCAAAATACATTTGAAAAACACCTAGCGAATCCCATCTGATTAAAACATATTGAAGATCGCAATTTCAAGGACCTGGATCTCTCTGGATTTATCACGGTCAGGCAGCATGTTTTATTATTGATTTCCCTCCCATGGTTCAATCAATGAATTTAGATTTCGAACGATAAATAAAATAAAATGCTCTGCAGGGCGCAGCTTGATACGACCGCAGAGGTCGAACTCTGAACAGTTGGGGCAAGTATGGACACAACATTCAAGCTTGATACAGCTCTGAATTTGGATTTTGATTAAATATTTGACACAGCATAGGTTTCTGACACAGAATGAATGTGGTCTAAGAACTTAAAAATTTTAAATTGGACATTCACCTATTATGGTCCAATATCCAAAATCTAAATACATGGTTAGATTCAGCATATCAAAGAACCCCAAGAATTCAATTTTTGATGAAATCAAACAAAGTTTAATTTTGGACCCTTTTGACCTCAATGTGGACAAAGTTGATAACGGGGCCCAAAAATCAAAAATCTAAATACATGGTTAGATTCAGCATATCAAAGAACCCCATATATTCAATTTTTCTTGAAATCAAACAAAGTTTAATTTTGGACCAACTTGAAAACTGGGCCCATAATCAAAAATCTAAATACATGTACATGTTAGATTCAGCATATCAAAGAACCCTAAAAATTCAATTTTTGTTAAAATCAAACTAAGTTTAATGTTGAACCCTTTGGACCTTAATGTAGACCAATTTGAAAACGGAACCAAAAATTAAGAATCTAAATACACATTTAGATTCGGCATATCAAAGAACCCCAATAATTAAATTTTTGATGAAATCAAACAAAGTTAAATTTTGGACCCTTTGGACCTCAATGTGGACCAATTTAAAAACAGGGCCCAAAATCCAAAAACTTAATACACGGTTAGATTCAGCATATTAAAGAACCCCAAGAATTCAAGAATAAAACCCCATTGAAATTGATCAAGAAATAAGCAATTTATACGAAGTATCTTCTTTTGCACAATACTGTGCAATTGAATATTTCTTGCTATTGCGCAATACTGTACAATTGACAATTTCTTGCTATTGCGCAATATTTTGCAATTGAATATTTCTTGCTATTGCGCAATACTGTGCAATTGAAGATTTCTTGCTATTGCGCAATACTGTGCAATTGAAAATTTCTTGCTATTGCACAATACTTATTATTTAATAATTTACACATCCTGTTTGGTGTGTATCTCCTACCATATCATTATTATTTGCTTTTAAATATAAATCAGAAATAACCAACTTAAAATGGAAAATTTAAAAAGAAAAAAAAAGGAAAAAGAGAAAAAAAAAAATCCCCCCCCCCAAATTTTTTGAACCCCTTATGATTCATCACCCCCAAACTCAATCCCAGCCTTCCCTTTGTGGTATGGTACCTTGCAGTACAATTTCAGAAAGATCCATACACTTGAACACAAGTTATTGTCTGGAAACTAGAAAAATGCTTATTTTTGGCCCCCCAATTCCTAAACGTTTCAGGCAATAACCCCCAAACTCAATTCCAGCTTTCCCTTTGTGATATGGAACCTTGTAGTACAATTTCAGAAATATCCAAACACTTACACACAAGTTATTGTCATGAAACTAGAAAAATGCTTGTTTTTTGCCCCTTTTTTGGCCCCTAATTCCTAAAATTTTGAGGCAATTACCCCCAAAATCAATTACAGCCTTCCCTTTGTGATATGGAAAGTTGTGGTACAATGTCAGAGAGATCCATACACTTACAAGTTATTGTCTGGAAGTTACAAAAATGCTTATTTTTGGCCCCTAATTCCTTAACTGTTGGTACCATAACCCCCAAAATCAATCCCAACCTTCCTTTTGTGGTATTGAACCTTATGGTAAAATTTCATAGTGATCCATTCACTTAAACTAAAGTTAGAGTGCGAAAATCAATGTGTCTTCGGACGACGACGATGACGCCAACGTCATACCAATATACGACCAAAAATTTTTTAATTTTTGCGGTCGTATAAAAATAGTTCATTTTCTAGGCATTTGTAAGTCTTCACAACTAGTATGGTGATTCTACTTGTCAGACGCCTATGTCCACTTGTCCCAGACAATCAGAAATGTCGAGCCCTGACTGGTGAACACACAATTTTTTCCAGATTTTGACAAAATCCTTTTTTTTAGTACCATCGACCATACATAACCACACAATTTGAACTTTGTGACTTGCCCCCACCAATCCAAAAAGAATTAAAGTGCCTTCCACCTATGGTTGTTGTTTGTTGATGTGGTTTTCAAGTTTCTCTTGTTTTTTAAATAGATTAGACCGATGGTTTTCTTGTTTGAATTGTTTTACACTAGTCATTTTTGGGGCCCTTTATAGCTTGCTGTTCGGTGTGAACCAAGGCTCTGTGTTGAAGGCTGAACTTTGATCTATAATGGTTTACTTTTACAAATTGTGACTTGGAGTGTTGTCTCATTAGCACTCATACCACATCTTATATCTATTTTATTTCTTATTGTTGGAATGTGGTCTGCTTTAAAGAATTTATGATTGAAACTGGATTTAAAAAATCTTTTAAAACAGAAGTTTTGGACTGTAATTGGTCTGTATATCTAGGGAAGAAAAAGCCTTGTTATTTAATGTTAAAAAAATTTACTCTGGATATCCTTTCCATTTGAGTAAATATTCTTTTTTTCCATTTTTCATCCTTGAATCTTGAACTTTTTCCACTGTATATTCTTCCTCCTCTTCTTCACCATCTTCCATTTCTTCAACAGGATCTTTTTCTTTTGTTGCCATCTTTGGTCTAAAACACAGCAACAGATACATGCATAATACATTAACATTTCTATTCAAAGCTAATACTGTTATTAGTCATTCTAATAAAACTAAGATACCTGAATGTAAGAAAGTTTTTTTTGCTATCAGTTTCATAAACCACTTCTTAAGACAGTGTTCTCCCCAGGATTTTTTGATTTGCTATCAGTTTCATAAACCACTTCTTAAGACAGTGTTCTCCCCAGAATTTTTTGAAAGTGCTGTGGTAAGCGTGTGACTTTCAACTATTCTCAGTAACTTTGTCGTGGTGCACGGTTCGTTTGTAATGGGTTTGTTATGATGTTTTTATACAATATGCTGCTGATGTTTGCTCTTGTAATGTTGTCCTGATGGAAGTTACCCATTTGTTTGTAAATGTTATTGTTTGAAAATAGATGAAGAAACATTTTTTTGTCTCCATTGTAAATTCAGATAATCAAGCAAAAATAAGTACAGAAATAAATTCAATAAAGGGTCAACACCAGACTGGCGATGTGGAGATTTCTTAACAGGTGATGAAGAACATGTAGGACCCACAATCACGACATTTGACATTTTGTAACATTATGATTTCTCATTTTTCTGATCACAATTTTATTACATTCCTATGGCTTCACCCAAGCAGCAGTGGCAGATCCAAGGGTGGGGTTGGTAGGTCCCAGGGGTTGGAACACCCCCCATTTTTTTTTTTACGATCAATGCTTTTTGAATGGGGACATATGGTTTAACCCCGTATCCTTTTTAAAAATGGCTGGATCCTAGCCTGAGCTGGACATCGAGAAAGTGCATTTCTCCAGACTAGTATCAGCTTGGGGTTTGTTTTTCTAATCATATATCATTCCAATTGTTTTCAAATGGTAAAATTCATTACTGTAGTATTATTGATTAAACAATTATTAGTTCAATTAGGTGATAATTAATACTTCAAAGACTTGCACATTGAAGCCAATTTGATCGTTGTCTAAATTAATTGTTTAATCAAAATTCGTAAGACAAGTTTGTGAGTACTGTTGGTAAATGTGGTCAATTTCATCTTATTCCATTCATATTTGCTTCTTTATATTCTTTTTAATTCAAAAAAATGGATGATAATGTTGATTTCTTTATTTTCTTTCAAAGACGCCATTTTGAAAAATTTATTAAACTGGTCCCGCTATGTTACTTTATACATGTACCGCGCAAATAACACATTCAGGAGTGATCGACTTAAAAGATAAGCGGGAAATTAAAAAAAACAAGCATTTAGTGAGTATTGCATGGCAATACATTATCCCCTACTGGTTAACAATTCATTGTATTGGAACAAAATTCTAACTTGATTTATAACTTGTCATGGTGTAAACTATATAACAATATCAAGTCAAAATCTTCAAGCATGACGAAAAATAGAGTTGAAAACTGATTATTTAAGTGAATTTTCTAAGTCTGAGGACCATAACTATGCACAAAATCATCAGACTGGAACAAAATAAGAACTTGATCTGTAACTTGTCATTATAAAACTACATACCAATTTTCAAATCAATATCTTCAAGCATCATGAATGAAAAAAATGTGGAAAACTGATTAAGTGAATTTTCTAAGTCCAAGGACCATAACTCTGCACAAAATCATCTGACCGGAACAAAATTCAAACTTGAACTGTAACTTGTCATGATAAAACTATATACCAATTATCAAATCAATATCTTCAAGAATAACAAAAGAAAGTGTGAAAACTGATTATTTTAGTGAATTTTCTAAGTCAAAGGACCATAACTGCACAAAATCATCAGACCGGAACAAAATTTGAACTTGATATGTAACTTGTCATGATAAAACAATACACCAAATATCAAATCAATATCTTCAAGCCTGAAGAAAAATTGTGTGGAAAACTGATTTACCGGACTGACGGATGGACAAACAGACGGACGGAGTGCAAACCTAAAGTCCCCTTCAACTTCGTCGGTAGGGGACTAAAAAAAACTAAAGCGAGGTGATTGATTTGGATAGCACTGCACTCAGTTCAATAGAACAGTGGAAAATTGTGATAGCACTGAATACCACAGAGCTTAAACAGTCTGTCAGTGATTTTCCTAACTTTTTTCAAATGGGGCCTGGGCCCTAGGCAATTGGGAAAAATGTGTCTTAAAACATGTGAGTTGGGAAAAAAGTTTCATGAGAATTGCTGACAGCATTTTTGAGTTATTGTCCGAAAACTGGAAAATTCCCTCCTTTTTTTAATAAATAAAACCCAATAGCTCAGAAATTCAAAATGTAAAATTTATAAAATTCTAAAGGGAGGTTACATCAATAGATATTTACAATTCACCAAAGTTTCATAAAAACTGCTGAAAGCATTCTTGAGTTATTGTCCGAAAACTGGAAAATTCCCCCTTTTTTAATGATTTTTGTCGAGCCTTCGACTTTAGTCGAAAAAGCGAGACATAGCGATCCTACATTCCGTCGGCGGCGTCCACAAATATTCACTCTGTGGTTAAAGTTTTTGAAATTTTAATAACTTTCTTAAACTATCCTGGATTTCTACCAAACTTGGACAGAAGCTTGTTTATGATCATTAGATAGTATCCAGAAGTAAATTTTGTAAAAAAAAAAAATTCATTTTTTCCGTATTTTACTTATAAATGGACTTAGTTTTTCTGCCAGGAAACAATACATTCACTCTGTGGTTAAAGTTTTTAAAATTTTAATAACTTTCTTAAACTATCCTGGATTTGTACCAAACTTGGACAGAAGCTTGTTTATGATCATAAGATAGTATCCAGAAGTAAATTTGTTAAAAACAAAATTTCATTTTTTCCGTATTTTACTTATAAATGGACTTAGTTTTTCTGCCAGGAAACAATACATTCACTCTGTGGTTAAAGTTTTTAAAATTTTAATAACTTTCTTAAACTATCCTGGATTTGTACTAAACTTGGACAGAAGCTTGTTTATGATCATAAGATAGTATCCAGAAGTAAATTTGTTAAAAACAAAATTTTATTTTTTCCGTATTTTACTTATAAATGGACTTAGTTTTTCTGCCAGGAAACAATACATTCACTCTGTGGTTAAAGTTTTTAAAATTTTAATAACTTTCTTAAACTATCCTGGATTTGTACCAAATTTGGACAGAAGCTTGTTTATGATCAAAAGCTAGTATCTAGAAGTAAATTTTGATAACATTTGTACCTGTTTATCCGTATATTACTTATAAATGGACTTAGTTTTTCTTCCAGTTAACATTCTGCAGTTAAAGTTTTTAAAACATTTATTAGATTCATAAACTATCCTGGATTTATACCAAACTTTGACAGAAGCTTCTTACAATCAAAAGATAGTATCTAAAGGAATATTTTTATTGATTTTTTTCCTCATTTTTGTTGAGCCTGCGATTAACAGCAAAATTAGGCGAGACCTGGGTTCCGCGGAACCCTTACGAATTTAAAAAAAAAAAAACATAACTCGGAAAAGTAAAATCTAAAATTTATAAAAAACGAAAGGGAGCTCACGTCAATAGATATAAACAATTCACCAAAGTTTTATGCAAATTGGTTAAAGTGTTTTTGAGTTAATGTCCGACATGTTGACGACGGACAGACAACAGTATACCATAATACGTCCTGTAAACAGGCGTATAAAAAGTATATACTAAAATAGGAAAGTACTATCCAATACTGTTAATGATGACAACAAAAAGAAGAATCAAATCTTGATATGCAGACTAGTAGAACAATTCACATTCAAATTATTACAACCGATTTAACCACTTTTAATAGTAGGAGATAATTAAAGATTTGTTTCCATTTCCCTGAAATTCCCGAGTCTAAGTGGACTGCCATACTTTCCATGGTATTTAATTAACGCCATTTCATGCATTTCTTTGGCTTGATTGCCTGTTTTATTAATATTATCATCACAACTAACAGAAGAAAATAACTTATTTTGGCATGTTTACAAAATTTATAAATAAACCTAAGACCAAAAAGTTAACATAGACAGTTAAGCACATTTACGGAGACGAATACGAAATTTAGAAAAATGTTCTGTTTCTTTTAATCGAAATCAATAGTAATCATACTTTCAATTATATCATTTAAAGGAAAAAAATCAACCAAATTAGCAAACTTTCATAGAATTAAAAAAAAGTTGGTTCTATTGAAAATTTAGATCATGGTTATTCACGTTTTTCAGGTTTTCAGATAAACCATCTAGAACTAAGATAAACTGGTTCCCAAAATATTATCATCTGTCTATCGACTTGTTTTTCTTCGGGAACAGTACAACAACCTATATTTTAGAACCAAATCATACGGACGATAAAATAATCAATTACCTTTCCAATACAACTTGATTGATATTCGGACCCAAAATAAAGGCAAGAAAATCACTACCTGCGGAGAACACTAATTGAGGATTCACTCTTCTCAGACTAGTTATTTCATGTTTGAAGTTACAATATCATATTTATTTTATAACATGTACCACGACCTTAAACTGGCTAGCCTACCACAAAACACAAAATCACATCAGATTCATAATATTCTTCATTGTTCAATATGTGCCATATTATGCAAGAAACTCTTGTTCAAGTTGCTAGGTTTTTATTTCATATTTGTAAAGTTTTGCTTTGATGAAAATGTTTCAGAACAGGAAGCCTCTGATATATCAACAAAAAACTAAGGGGCCTTATTCATGTTATTTCTGAAAAACAGTTGATAGGCACTGATTAAGAACTTGTCCAAGATGTTGCTCATATAATCGGACCTTTGATATGAATTTGATAAAAATCCTTACAGAAATGTAGATTTGAGAGCGCTAACATGAACAGATGACCAGATCTTCATGCCCCCCTGGTCTGCATACTGAGAGAAGACAAAAATAAGGATTTGCAAATCAGTTACAAGTTCATTTCAGTACAGGTGATAACCTTTCAAACGACATTTAACATTAGTACATTGTAACATGACCATATTGTGAAAAATCTATTTTGAATGCGCCAATTTGAATAAAAACATAGAAGTACAGAAGTTTTGTTAACTTCCAGTATTCAAAACTCTCTTTGCTGAAGGTCTTTCATCAAAACACCTTTTCATGCATTATTTGAAAGCTTTACTTCATTCCTTTCGTTGTTAGGTACATGTAGCAATGATGCATTCCAGAAGTTTTTCAAAGAACTGTTTGGTCAGATAAACTGCAATGATTCATCAAGCCACCCAAAGACTTTAGATTCATCACTATCATGACTAAATCATATGTTCCTGAAGCAAACACGGTAAAGGTCAATTTCAGAGCTGTTTACCTATTCATTACACCATCAGTCATCATCCTTTCTGTCTGTATTTTTGGGTTTGTAGTAGTGTCACTGGTTAGCGTGGTGAAGCGATTCGATCCTGCAAGAGGGGATATAGGGTCATGTTCCATTACTTTTTCTTTCTATGAAGACAAAACATATTGAATAACAGCCTTCAGCAAGGCCAATGCAAAAAAGAATGGCACACGTGATGCATGAATACTTTACAATATTTAGGGTACACAATAAAGATAGCTTTCCTCCATTCAACTGTTCAAAAAGAACAAGGTATGAGGACCATATTTTAAGAGTAACTAAGTTTTTCGTAAATTAAAACATTTAAATTCCAAAACTATTGCGAAAAATATCAATTACAGCCTTAGGTATTGGACAAGAATTGCGTTTTGCAAATGTGTTTTACTCCAACATCATGTTTGGGCGCCATTTTGTGTTTTTCACTTCATTATGTACACGTTCTTTTCTTATTGTTTGTATTTATCATCTCATACCAGCTGACATGCAAACTTATTCCATGTATTAGTTTAGTTTTTCATCATAAATAAAGTTCTCGTAAGTGCATGCATCTGTTTTTACCTGCAATTCTATGCACAAAATAATTTGTATCAAGTTTACCCGGTGATTTTAGGATTATGCGCATGTGCTTTAAAAGATCACGCGGGAAACTCTTCAAATATTCTTTGTTATCGTTTTGACATATTATAATTTTGTTTAACTTTAAATCATGCAAAGTCTTTTTGAAAATGTATCCTTTATATTCCGGTGTATGCGTTTTATTTTAATTATATTTTAGGATTATAAAATGATTTCAATTTGAGGTGCGTTCTGAAAATGATTTTTAGTCACTTCAACACCGGATTAAATCCGGGACTATTTCTAATCAATACATTATGCCCAAGATTAATTCTACTAATAAAAACTAACTAAATGGTGTTTTCCGTTATAGGATCATACAGGTTCTTCTTCACCAGACTCAAATACTATCTTCTTCCATCTTGTTCCATATACTGCCCACATCATCAACTTTCTGAATCAAACTGGCAAAATTGGTTCTGCATGGTTAAAAACAGGATAATAGCAAATGTTCATCTTTAGTTGGTAAGGTTGGTCGCTTGAGATTTGAATGCCTCAAGTGACTGTAATGTGGCGATCTCCGGGTGAAGCTTGTTCCAGTCTTTGGTGGTTTTCACAAAGAAGGACCATTTCCTACAGTATTTGTTATGTACCATGTATCCATGCTGTTGTGTGTGTCTGGATAGTCTAGTTGGCCTTTGGAGGTACATGTCTTTGTTGATGGCTACTTTATCGTTGACGATCTTATACATCATTGCGAGCCTGGCCTCTCTGTGCCGTTCTTGGAGACTTTTCCAGCCCAATTCGTTGATCATGTCCGTGACACTTGATCTGTTTCTGTGGCGCTTGGTGACGTATCGCGCAGCCCTCCTTTGAACTTTTTCAATTTGATCAATATGTTTTTGATGATAGGGGTCCCATACTGTTGTGGCGTATTCTAGTTTGGGCTTTACTAGAGTTTTGTATGCTTGCTCTTTGGTGCTTATAGAGCAGATATGTAGGTTTCGGTGGATGAAACCAAGGCTTCTGCTGGCTTTATTTTTTATGGTTTGTTCTTTGTTATTTTTGCTAGATGATCAGACTAATAAGAGTTCTCTATTTTCCCATTGTTTGTAGATAAAATATCTGGTCAGCGTTAACAGAGGCGGATTTAGGGGTGGGGGTTGGGAATCAGTATAAATTCAAGCCCCCATGAATTATTTCTATTCTAATAGAACAAATACGGCAATTAGTTTGGATCGAAGCGGTCTAGGTGAAGGCAAATATTTCAAGTGCCGTTCCAGTAAATAAACACACTATTATATTGACGTAAAAGAACGGAACAAAGCAATAACGTATTTGATAGGTTTGCATCGGCATATGGATGAATCTAAATGGTAATTTTACTTATATGTAAAAAAAAAAATTGGTTTATATCAATTTTATCATCGATTGTTTTTGTTTCCTTGTTTCGGTTTCACAATCGTGCATTTTCCCGTAAAACTATGATGCTTGTATTCTTACGTCATCGTTCAATGACCGTCGTCGGGTAACTCATTCATGAAAAACGCATATGACGTGGAAGTATGATCGGAACAGCCCAAACAATATATTCATATTTTACTACGGACGTGTACTCAAAGCGTTTAAAGAACGTCATATTAGAATTAGATATAACGTTACAATACCAAAATTGCACCGAGTACCCAAATTGCACCTATTCAACAAATATAGCTGTGGAAATCTTACAAGTTTTCTTTGAAACTAAACAATTTGTATTTTTATGATTTGACATTTTACACGTCTTTCAACATAGGTAAATATATTTAAATATACACAAAACGTTCACAGTATATATCAACAGACGAAGCATTCACTGGAAAAAGTAATATCTACGGAAACTTCTGCATGCGACGTTCACAAAAAGTCTTTTTTTTTTAAAATGATCAAATAAAATATGTTTCAAGCATCCATTTCTTAAAAAATGCAATCTAATTAAAATATAGAACTCGGATGTAGTATAACGAAATCCGAGTTCTATATTTTAATTAGATTGGTTGCATGCATATTCTGTTAACAAATAACATACAAATCAGGGGCGGATCCAGCCATTTATAAAAGTGGGGGGTTCCAACTATATGTCCCCATTCCAATGCATTGATCGTCCAAAAAAGAGGGGGGTTCCAACCCCCGGAACCCCCCCCCCCGGATCCGCCACTGCAAATCTTATAGATATGTTATACAAAGTTAATTGGTCGACTAGGATGAAGGAACTTAGGACTGATACTAATAAACGAAGATGTGTTGGATAAGGGCAGAAAACACACGTGATACTTTTCCTACATGGCGGGACATAAGATTTACCGTACCAATCTCGACGGGACGTGCTTGCGTAATTTAATACGACACAGAGCCGAACTAACAATTATTTTGTGAGTCCTATACCCTAAGATATCTATCTTTATAACCCAGAGAACCCTCAAGCGTATAGTTTGAAGTCCACCGACTGCCTCTCAACATTCTCCCTGTAACTCTTTTTGTTTAATCTTTTAGCTAGACCGGGACTTGAATAAGTTTCTACATCCATGCAAACCTGACAGAATATTGCCGTTTAAAATCTAAGCACTGCTTTAAAACTAAGATTAGACCGTTTATTCGCAATGTAAGGTATATGCTATCCGCACCTTAAAATCCTGCCAGATTCAGGCGGGGGCGTGGCGGGTGATGCGCCCCCTAAAATTTGAAAAGCATGTGTTGTCCTCAGCTTAATAAAGAATATTTCGATAATTTTACCTCAAAAAAATTTTCGCCTCGCAAAATTTCAGTTTGCGCCCCCCCCCCCCCCCTAACCTAAAATCCTGGATCCGCCCCTGTGTATAAGTAAATGTCTTAAATATTTTTTTCAATGGATTCAATTTAATTTGGATTCTGTTAAATATAAAGATAAACATTTCAAACAAATCTTTTTTCAATTAGTTTTGAATGCCTTTTTTAACAATTAGTCCTTAAAGTAAATGGTTAATAAAAAATATATCAACCTGTTCTTCAATTAAAATCCGAAACAGTGGTAACCGTCATTCTTGCTACGCTACGTTGACTTTAACCACTGCAACCAAGTCCCTACGTTAGCGGAGGATTTTTTCAACGTTCTTGAAAAAAATATAATGTGTTAAATTTATTTGTATCTTTATAGATATCGATACTGTTTATTTGATTAAACATAGATGTCTAAGGCCATAACCAGAAGTCCATTAATAGAGCACTAGTAATGGACTTCTGCTATAACGTATGCTATCAGTCATTATGGGAAAATGATATTTTGAACTGGAAATATATTTTGGTGTACGAATACTTATTTATCACAATATGGATGTAAAAGAGACAATTCGGAACGTTCAGTGTCAGCTGTATCCACAGTTGACACTGAAACCTGAACAAATATCTTCTATATATAAAATATCATAGAGGGAAATAATATCATAGTCAATTTGCCTGTTGGGTTTGGAAAGAGTATCATATTTCATGTGTTGCCCAGTGAGTAATTCCAACAAACATCTTGAAAGTGTTCACGTTCATTATTTAAGACTTTTTATTTTCTTTCGTGTCCAGTTTCGGAGTTTGCCTTTTCTTTAGTAGAATCGAAATTTGAAGAAGGAAATCCATAAGTTTAGAAAATAAATTGGCTGAAAAATAAAAAAAAAAGTCGTAGCTAGATCTATATAAATTTGAATACTTTCAGGTTCGTGTTTGGATCTTTTGCGGAATCTATGTGTTTTTGCTCTTTTCTTTTCTTTTCATTCTTCTTTTTTATTTGTATTTACTTTTTTCTTATTTAACATTTGAATGTTCGTTTCATTGAAACATGTCTTAATTTTTTATTTGAACATCAACAGGGATTATTCGAACGCAATCTAGTTCCTCCGACGGACAAATCACGTGGTCTTTCTTTCAACCGTCCATTCTACCGCTAACAAGGAACAACAATGCCAGGTTATGGAAATTTTGGGGGAGGCGGTGGAGGAGGTGGTGGAGGAGGGGTAAGAAATCGGTTAATTATAAACACTAATCATGAGCAAATTTAATACAATTATACATAACTATATAAACAGTCTTCTTGTGCACAGGCGATGTCGAAGTAAATCCGCGTGGGGCATTACAACGCACGCGGTTCCATTATGAGGGAATGACTATTGCAGTGAAGGCATAACATGTTAAATTTCATGTAGAGTTGCCAATTTTAATGAAAATCGAGAAGTATGAAACATTTGGGTAAATTTTATTATTGTATTATCAATTCATACATGTTCATCCAGCTTCTGAGCACTTAACGCAAATTATAACGAGATTCTATATTAATAATTTAATGAGTATTAAACAAAAAAGTTATAAATTCATGTATGTTTGTAGTTTAATCGTGAGATTTTAAACTAAACATGGGTTTTAAGGTAGCACAATTCAAAAGCAACTAAATTTTATCAAAATATCATTTTCAGCTTTTTTTGTTACTTCTTAATATTCCAAAACCAAAGAAGAAAAATTTATTTACATATCTTGCACTGTTAATGAGTTTTGATGATAATTAGTTTTATAAACAAATGCACGTGTCTGACTGATACAAGATAAGAACATGTGGGCAGTACTTTGTGGTTAATCAATAGAATCATTTGATAGCTTTATGACCACTGACAAGCAATACAAATAAAAGTTACGCAAAAGAGGTGGATTAGGGATTAATGGAAAAATGAAGATAATGAATTCCAAATAAAAATACATTTCACTAATGGAGCTGCCAGGAGAAAAAAAACAAAGTAACAATTTGGAGATATAGAGGGAATCAAAATATAAATGTACAGAAATTAAACAAATATAATTGTATAACAATTAATGTACTGGAATTTCTTGGGGGAGAATGTTTAGATATGAATTCTTTTTAAAAGAAAATACAAATTAAATATTTCATTTTCAGACTGCAAAATTGAACAAAATCTACTTTGTGTAAAACACCATATTGTCCTTGTATACAATTACAATTCTAAAAATGCCCCATAAGGATCCCCTAAACTGACCAACTGATCATTTTGTGTACACATGCATAACTTACTTTTTGTAACAATAAAAAAACAAAATTTATTATGTTATGTACTAAGTGAATAAAATCCATATTGAAAAAAGTAAATGCAATGTGCAATTAAACTTCTGAGATCATTAGTAGTAAAGGTTTATCATGGTGGGCGGAGTTTTGACCATATCAGTCAGTCAGGGGTACTACTTGTACAAGTAATTTTTATTTACTTGAAGAAGTAAATAAAATATACTTATACAAGTTAATTATATTGTTTGAATAATCTCCCCTTAATTTTCTAAAAAATTTACTTGTATAAGTAAATTTTTTTTACAATCCCACAAAAATTCTCAAGTTTTGAGATGTAAAATCATGCCTTTAACAATTTTTCTCAGGTTAGCTCATAATTTTTGATAAGAGTTCAATGTTTCATCTCATTAATTCAACAAAGAAACTGATTGAGCAAAAATCTTAAGTATTTGCGCAAGGCCTTAAAAAATTGCTCCTTGGGGGCTTGTAAATGAGCAGTGTTCTAAAGATAAAAGACAAATGAGATTTTCATTGTCCATGAAATTACACTTAAATGAATAGTAAAGACATCTGCAAAGGACAGACAATTCAAAATTCTGTTAGAGCAAAGAAGTTCTAAGAATTCAAGAAAAGAAGATAGGATGACTTTTTTACTTGTATAAGTAAAAAAATCTGAATGCCTAATGGACATAACTAGGCCAAAAAATAATTTACTTATACAAGTAAATAAAATACGCTTGTATAAGTATCCTACAAATTTACTTATATAAGTATATTATAATTACTTCTTCAAGTAAATAAAAATTACTTGTACAAGTAGTACCCCTGACTGTCAGTAGCAACTGACTATAATGATATAACATCTCCCGCCAGATCTGGTTTTTGATGCATAGGGTGTGCATTTTCTCTATATATTTAGAATTGCTGAAATTGAATGCTTTCTTACTGGTCAAAACCTAATTGATTTATGATTGAAGGTCAATCCTGAAATATCCCAATGGTACATGTGTGAATTATATTGAAGTTAATGGGGTACAAGTAGGAAAATCCTTATTTATGCAATTGTGACACATTCATTTTTGTCATGAAAATGTAGTTTTAAATGAATTTAGCTCCTAGATGGTTGCCCCTATATGCCTGATTTTCACACATGTTGTTCCTTGACCAGTTATCTTCAAAAGGGTGTCTCAGATTTCAAAAAAACATCAATAGAACAAATTTTATACCCAATTAAATTTAGTGATCTCTTATGAATTTAGTTTGCAAACTTCATTGAAGGTTTATGAGAGAATGAAATACAATAGGAAAAATCTGAGACACCCTTTTGGAGGTCAAACTGTGTTACACAAGAATCTATAAAATATTTTGGGATGCTATGAATAACAAAGAAGCTAATTTCATTCAAATGTGGACATCTAAATATAGCAACTAATTACATAATAATTAATTATGTAATAATTATGTCAAATTGACGTTTTCACCATTTGAAAGATTAATCTTTCTTCTTTCTTTTGGTACCTCATTTATAAAATTTAAAGTTGGATGAAAGAAATTACATCAGTTTTAAGTTGTCTGATTGGGGGTGAAAAAATCTTTGTATTGTGCTACCTTAAGCATTTATTTTTTTTCAGAGAGGAGGTCGAAATAGACCATTCAATGACCCAAATGATCCAGAATCAGAACAGTACAGAAAATTATTTGTTGGTGGACTAAGTTATGAGACAACAGATGATGGACTTAAAGAACATTTTGAACAGTGGGGAGAAATAGAGGATCACATTGTAATGAAAGACCCTCAGACAAAGAGATCAAGAGGTTTTGGCTTCATCACATACAAGAAATCACACATGCTAGATGATGCTCAGTCTAGCAGACCCCACAAAATTGATGGCCGTGAGGTGGAAACAAAAAGAGCTATGCCAAGAGAGGTATGATAATTAACATTTTAGTTCTGAATACAAATTTATGTGTTTGATTTTTTTTCAATTACATATACATTACCTTGTATCTGTAGGTATCCAGTAGTGTATGAGTTACAATTTTGATTGTACATGTACTTATTCAGATTTATTTTAGGCCGAGAAAAAAAAAATCTGTGTTTCCGGTAACCCGACCGACCCTGTTTTTTTTAGCCCCGACCCTAATTTTTTTATTGGATCTTTAAAAAAAAAATAAAAATTGGTATCAACCGACCCTGTTTTTGACACAGGCTTCTGTTAATCGACATAATTATTTATCTAACTTTCTTCTACTGGCACAGAAAGCCAGTAAAACATTTTATTTATGTCAAAAGGTATTCCAAATAGGTTAAAATCCAAGAAATTTGCACAGTAGGTTCTTTATATCTATTGACATGAGCTCCCTTTCGTTTTTTATATATTTTAGATTTTACGTTTCCGAGTTACAGGGTTTTATTCATAAAAAAAGGGGGTTTTCCAAAGGGAGATTTTCCAGTTTTCAGACAAAAAATCAAAAATGCTTTTAGCAGTTCTTATGAAACTTTGGTGAATTGTTTATATCTATTGATGTAAGCTCCGTTTAGAATTTTATAAATTTTACATTTTACATTTCTGAGTTATGGGGTTTTATTCATTAAAAAAAGGGGGATTTTCCAGTTTTCGGACAATAACTCAAAATGCTGTCAGCAATTCTCATGAAACTTTGGTGAATTGTTTATATCTTTTGATGTAAGCTCCCTTTACATTTTCATAAATTTCTAATATGACATTGAGAATAAATTGAACTTTAATTGTTTATAGTCTGACAACAGATTTGCTAAGTATTGCGCAACAGCACAGTGTATTGCACAACAGCAAGAAATCTTTAATTGAATATAAATTCAATTCATATAACCAATTTCAAGTTCTTTGACTACATTTATTCAGAAACCTATAATATGTCAAATATTTAATACAATCCAAATTCAGACCTGTATCAAGCTTGAATATTGTGTCCATTTTTGCCGTAACTGTTCAGGGTTGGACCTCTGCGGGCGTATCCAGCTGCGCTCAGCGAAGCAGTTTATTAATTTTGTAATCGTTTGATCAAGAAATATTTTCATGGAAAGTATTTCACAGTGAAATATTTTCATGGACAGAATTTCACAAGGAAATAATGTCATAATAGACAGTATTTCATAGTGAAATCTTGTCATGGACAGAATTTCATAGTGAAATATTGTCCAGAAGGAGGTGACAAAATTTCATGGACAAGGACACTATTTCATAATGAAATATTGTCCTGGACAGTATTTCATTATAAAATTGTGTAGGCAGACAATATTTTATATGAAATTTTGTCCGATGGACAATATTTTATGTTGCCATTGGTAAAAGTTTTTGTAATTGAAAGTACCAAGAATGTTAGTATGACCATTTGTGCTCTATGGCTTCAAACTTCTAACTGTACCCTAATCTTAAGGTTCATCAAAAGGAATTGAAAAATATGGCTGTGTTTACACCACAAAATCTATTCTGAGTACAGACAAGCAAATTCATCTAGGAAAGTTTTAAGGCATGGCTGTACCTAGGCATAAAAAAGTTGCAGTTTATGTTCCAGAAAATTAAAACCTTACCAGGATTTTGATGTGCATTTTTACTCCAGTCTGCAGAAGATAGCAAAATAAACAAACACTTGAGTTTCATTTGATACGGTCCACTCAGTTTCACAGTTTAAATCACCTATTGCTTCCAGATATCTATTGTCCATCTATGGTCCTTTCAAATCAATACAACTCACTACATCTTTTACATGAGGGGCGCTTCTTGTAACTCTTTCCCAACTTAGTTTATTTTGGCACCTTCTGCAGGAATAAAAAAAAAATGAATAGCAAATTCCAGTTAAATTTTTATTATTCTGTTATATATCTAGGTCTAGTCATGCTCTTAAACTTTTCCAGATGCACAGGTTTGGTTGTACCCAGAGTGAAATTTGTGGTGTAAATACGGCCATACATGTATTTGCTAAAAGGTTATAATGAACCTTAAAATTATGTACACACTGTCTGTTTCACAAGTTGTCACAAAATTAAATGTCCTTTTATCAGCCAAATTTTTTGTAGAAGCTTGAGAGGAGATTTTTTAAACATTTGACTAAAAAATTTGAATCTAGCAAATTTATTTCGTATTCAAGTACCTGTAAGTATTACCTGCAATTTCAAGTATACATTGTACATAAATTACTTGTATAAGTACATGAAGTACCATCTATTTGTCCATTGTTGATTTATTTTTTAGAATCTACTGTAAAAGCAGATTTTTTTCGTGGAGGATTTAATTTCGTTTATTTCGTGGAAAGAATATATCCACGAAATTAAAACCCCCTCAAAAATTTAACCTAAATATAAGATCACTTCCAAATACTGGAAACCACGAAATTAAATCCCCATGAAATCTTATAGTTATATAGAGACAAAACCACGAAATTTTAACCCCACGAAAATTAATGTTTCTACAGTTTATATATTTATATTTTAATAGGATTCAGGAAAACCAGATGTTCATGAGGCTGCAAAGAAGATGTTTATTGGTGGCATGAAAGATGGAACATCAGAAGATGATATACGGGAAGTTTTTGAAGAGTTTGGCAAAATTGCCAAAGTTGAAATGGTGACAGATAAAGCTACAGGCAAACAGAAGAGCTTTTGCTTTGTAGAGTTTGAAGATTATGATCCAGTTGACAAGTGTGTTTGTAAGTATAGCATATACATATACATCAAGTAGACTGGAAATCTTGTTTATTGTTGATATTTTGTTGTATTATTATCACCTTTGGTAGGATGAAAACTATTTTTTGTAAGGGTAACTTATTTAAAATTTGAGAAGGTAGTAAAATTTAGATTTTATTTACATACATTGTAGAATATATATATTATATTACATGAGGTCTGACCGTCTAGCTTATTAGGAAATATGGCTACACATTAAGTTGAAAAGAATCAACCTGAAATATTGCTATGATCAATTAAATGATAGAGAACTAATTATTAACTTTTCTATACAATAACAACATATCAACCAAACCTTCTCAAATTTTTAGGAGCCAGACAGAGGGGGGCATTATCATGATTATAATTAACCTTGTTTGTCTGTAAGTCCCAAAATTGGTTTCGGTTCTTTAGTTTGCGTTATCAAAATGTTTTGAAATTTATACACAATGCTTATTACCACCATAACCTGATCTAGTTCAAATTTGGTGGTGAACGTTTTTCAACGTTCTCGTGTTGTGCCCCTTTATAAATGGAAAATTGTTTTGTCCACACTCCAACTGTTGTATGTTATGACAAAATGTTTCATTTTCACACTCTTGAATTAGTATATATATTGACTCTTGCATTTTTATAAGCGGGTGAATTTGTGTCCCCTGGACACATTATTCTTTTATATTTATGCAAAAAACAAAAACTTCATTTGTAAATCATTGCGCCCAAAATAAGCAGAATATTTACACCATAATTTTCAAAAATAATATGAAAATAAAACAAAAATAGATTAATCAAAGTGTAACATGATTATTTTTTATATGTTGTTTATCATGACAATTGATGTTAAAGATTGGGTTTTTGAAGATTTTCACTTTTGCTGATCTGGGGTTACAGGTCTTATCTGATTTTAATATGGCTCTATGTTGTTTCTTTTCATAAGTTGAGAACCTTTCATCAAACCATTTTTCAAATTTTTATATGTTGTTTCTCATGACAAAATGGTGGTCAAATAGAAATTTGATGATTTTCACTTTTGCTTGCAGTTGTCAGGAGTTGATATGACCACTGATTGCTTCAACAATGACACTTAAAAATGTTAGAAAAAACAAATTTCCTGTCATTTTGATGGCCAATTATTTTTAATATGACTGAAACATAAAAATATGCATTTATATTTTCTGTAAATAATATAAAAATTAGGAGATATGGTATGATTGCCAATGAGACAACTATCCACAAGAGTACAAATGAAGCGGATGTAATTTATAAGTAACCGGCCTACCATCAACAATGAGAAAAGCCCATACCATATAGTCAGCTATAAAAGGCCAAGACAAGAAAAATATGAAACAATTCAAACGAGAAAATGGACGGCTATTGGTTATTACCAAATTTTACAAGACAATTTGATAAAGACATAAATACCAATGAGGGAGTCTACCTGGTGCTTTGCATTCACTCATTTTCTTTATATCTCCTTGATTATCATAAAAACTTAATTTATCATTTTCAAATTACAGTGAAGAAAGAATTTATCCTTAATGGCAAGAAGATAGAAGTTAAGAAAGCTCACAAAAAAGAGGGAGAAGGCGGTGGTGGTGGTGGCAGAGGAGGTGGTAGAGGTGGAGGCAGGGGAGGAAGAGGCGGAGGTATGTATTTAATTATTAAGTTCTATATATCTTTATGCCAATTTTTGCCAAATAAAACTCTTGATAACATAATTTGTTTGAATAAGATGAAAATATGACTTTTGAAAGTCTTAAACACGAAATGATCTTCATTAGTTCATATCAGGTCAAACTTAAAAAAGTATGCATGTCATAACTCTTCCTAATTCAGCTAGTCATCTTTTTTTACCCTCGGGTGGGGGGGATGGAGGGGGAGAAGGCCAGGGTTCTTTAACCGAAAAACTGGACTGGAAATTAAGAACACTGCTTTTTATACGACCGCAAAAAAATTTTGTGGTCGTATATTGGTATGACGTCGTCCGAAGACACATTGCTTTTCGCACTCTAACTTTAGTTTAAGTGAATGGATCTCTATGAAATTTTACCATAAGGTTCAATACCACAAAAGGAAGGTTGGGATTGATTTTGGGGGTTATATTACCAACAGTTAAGGAATTAGGGGCCAAAAATAAGCATTTTTGTAACGTCCAGACATAACTTGTGTGTTAGTGTATGGATCTCTCTGACATTGTACCACAAGGTTCCATATCACAAAGGGAATGCTGGGATTGATTCTGGGGGTAATTGCCTCAAAATTTAAGGAATTAGGGGCCAAAAAAGGGGCAAAAAACAAGCATTTTTCTAGTTGTATGACAATAACTTGTGTGTAAGTCTATGGATCTTTCTGAAATTGTACTACAAGGTTCCATATCACAAAGGGAAAGCTGGAATTGAGTTTGGGGGTAATTGCCCAAAACGTTTAGGAATAAGGGGCCAAAAATAAGCATTTTTCTAGTTTCCAGACAATAACTTGTGTTCAAGTGTATGGATCTCTCTGAAATTGTACTGCAAGGTACCATACCACAAAGGGAAGGCTGAGATTGATTTTTGGGTAATTGCCTCCAAATTTTAGGAATTAGGGGCCAAAAAGGGGCAAAAAACAAGCATTTTTCTAGTTTCAGGGCAATTACTTGTGTGTAAGTGTATGGATCTTTATGAAATTGTACTACAAGGTTCCATATCACAAAGGGAAAGCTGAGTTTGGGGGGTAATTGCCCTAAATGTTTAGGAATTTGGGGCCAAAAATAAGCATTGCCTGAAAATTTTAGGAATTAGAGGCCAAAAAGGGGCAAAAAACAAGCATTTTTCTAGTTTCAGGACAATAACTTGTGTGTAAATGTATGGATCTTTTTGAAATTGTACTACAAGGTTCCATATCACAAAGGGAAAGCTGGGTTTGAGTTTGGGGGTAATTGCCCTAAATGTTTAGGAATTTGGGGCCAAAAAGGGACCTAAAAACAAGCATTTTTCTAGTTCCAGACAATAACTTGTGTTGAAGTGTATGGATCTCTCTGAACTTGTACTGCAAGGTACCATACCTCAAAGGGAAGGCTGGGATTGAGTTTGGGGGTGATGAATCATAAGGGGTTCAAAAAATTTGGGGGAGGGATTTTTTTTTCCCTTTTTTTCCTTTTTTTTTCTTTAAAATTTTCCATTTTAATTTGGTTTTTCTGATTTATATATAAAAGCAAATAATAATGATATGGTTTGAATAGGTAAATTAAAAAAAAATTTAAATTCATAGACCGCATTCATTCTGTGTCTGAAACCTATGCTGTGTCAAATATTTAATCACAATCCAAATTCAGTGCTGTATCAAGCTTGAATGTTGTGTCCATACTTGCCCCAACTGTTCAGGGTTCGACCTCTGCGGTCGTATCAAGCTGCGCCCAGCGGAGCATTTTATTACAATATTCTGTTAAAATACGACTTGCAACTGTTTATTCATGAATATACTGTATTTTATCAAACAGGTTTTTGCCTAAGATGAGGAAGTTCAAAAGTGTTCATTATTTGTGTTTTGTATCCTTGTACAATGCATTAAAGTGAAAAGTAAGATGTTTGTGTAGGGTAAAATTTGCAGTAAAATGTCTTGCACTATAAATTCCCAATATATGACATTCATTGAGAGAATTACTGTAAAATCATCCAGGTAAGACCTTTCTTTTTTGTGGAGGTAACTGTAAACACAGATAAACATTATAAAGTTTTGAATTATTCTTTTGAATAGTTAAATTTTAGAATTTTATGATTTTTAATAAGAAGTACAATTAATCTGGTGTAAATTTTAGAATTTTATGATTTTTAATAAGAAGTACAATGTATCTGGTGTTTTATTTTCAGGACAAAGTAGCTATGGCGGCTATGGTGGTGGCATGGGTCAAAGCTTTGGTGGTCAGGGTGGAGGCTATGGTAATCAAGGTGATTATAGAAAAACGTGATTCCTCAGGCCAATGTTCGTTATATGACCTATTTTAGCCTTTAATACCATCACCAGATTGCTACTAAAAGTTACTAAACACTTTTAATTTCTATTGAACACACTCAGAATCCCATATTTTAGAAAAAATCTGCCTTATTTGTATACTCATTGATGAAGTAATAATTTTTGTTCTTGATATTGAACATGAACAATACAGGATTTAGGATTGTCCACAGTTGTACAAGGTTCAAAGTAATGGATGTCTGAGGTCCATGACATTTTAATTCTAATTTTGTAAACCAAAAGTCCAGGACCTTACACTCCTGATAGTTAATTTTAAAACCTTACCTATCACTTTCTATAAGGGACATGATTTGTGTATATGAAAGTCCTGAATCTATCACTCCTGAGAATGATTTTAACCCCTGACCTATTACTTTATTGTGTTTCTAGATCGATATGAATGTGTTTCTAGGTGATATGTAAAGATTGTCTTATAAATTTTGTTTCTAGCTGGATATGACTTGGATTGTATTATTTAATGTGTTTCCAGGGGTTGTTCTGAGACGTGGACTTAAAGCATTATTTCTTCAAATGCTGTCCTATCAAATCTACTGTGCATTTCTTGGATGCTTGATTTTCTGGGGGGCTCGGTGGCCCCATGCTCCCGGCCTTACTGAAAGAGCCCTAAGATTTCATGTTGGTCATCAACATGAAATCCCAGGAAAACCCCTGGTTTCTAGGTGGATATGTAAAGATTGTTATTTTTTAGTGAGTTTTTAGTTGGATATGTAAGGCCAACCTTAAAAATTATTTGTTTGATATTGCCTACCCAAGCTTCGTATGGTTGGGTAGGGTTGAAGGGATTTTATTTTTTTGTGTCGATAACGTATGTTACATGCATTATTTAGACCAGAAAGCGACATTATAAGGAGGAAAAAATCTTTTTAAAAAAATTTGTAACGATTTGTGTCGTGAAAGTTTTCGGGCATGTTGGTTTTAAGATGGGTAGGAAGGCAAAGTAACATCAGGCCAACCTTAAAAATATGTTTGTTTGCAGTTTTCCGACTGTACCTTTAGACTGAAGGGTCGGTAGGTAGGAAAAATATTTTATTTTATCAGCCAAAATGAAGTTTAAACAAGCAGTTACACAAACCAAGTTTCTTGTGAAGAAATTTTTTTTAAAACAAACACTGAAAACCAACATGAAATGAACAGGCATTTTTAGATAAAAACTTTTCAACCAAAATTGAAACTATAACATGGTGTGATTATCCAATTTATGACATTATTAAATACTACTAAGTACTGGAACACTTATAAGATCTTATAAACAAGGAATGACTAGAATTGTTTTAAAGAAATTGTTCACTGACATATGCTTCTTTACTAGAAAGTTTTCATGAGTAGAGTACAATGTATTTTCATTAGGAAAATGTAGATATCAAAGATTCATAAGACAATGTAAGAGTGTTATCAATAAAAACTAGAGGCTCTCAAGAGCCTGTGTCGCTCACCTGTATTTACTGATGCTTTGGAAATCATGTAAAATAAGGTTAAAATCATAATTAATAGTATTAGATATTAAATATTATGATAATATCTAAGATAATATTAAAAAACTGCAAAATTTTTGTAAAATTACTAACTGAGGGGCAGCAACCCAACAACAGGTTGTCGGATTCGTCTGAAAATTTCAGAGCCGGTAAATCTAAACCTGATGAACATTTTTGCCATGTGTCAGATTTGCTCTAAATGCTTTAGTTTCAGAGATATAAACCAAAAACTGCATTTTACCTCTATGTTCTAGTTTTAACCAAGTCGGCCATGATGGTTGGAAGGCGAGGTCATCGGACAAATTTTTTAAACTAGATACCCTAATAATGATTATGGCCAAGTATGGTTAAATTTGTCTCAGTAGTTTCAGAGAAGAAGATTTTTGTAAAAGATTACAAAAATTTACAAAAAATTGTTAAAAATTGACTATTAAGGGCAATAACTCCTAAAGGGGTCTACTGACAATTTTGGTCATGTTGACTTATTTGTAGATCTTACTTTGCTGAACATTATTGCTGTTTACAGTTTATCTCTATCTATAATAATATTCAAGATAATAACCAAAAACTGCAAAATTTCCTTAAAATTACCAATTCAGGGGCAGCAACCCAACAACAGGTTGTCAGATTTGTCTGAAAATTTCAGGGCAGATAGATCTTGACCTGATTATCAGTTTTACCCTATGTCAGATTTACTCTAAATGCTTTGGTTTCAGAGATATAAGCCAAAATCTACATTTTACCCCTATGTTCTATTTTTAGCCATGGCGGCCATCTTGGTTGGTTGGCAGGGTCATCGGACACATTTTTATACGACCGCAAAAAAATTTTTGTGGTCGTATATTGGTATGGCGTCGGCGTCGTCCGAAGACACATTGGTTTTCGCACTCTAACTTTAGTTTAAGTGAATGGATCTTTATGAAATTTTACCACAAGGTTCAATACCACAAAAGGAAGGTTGGGATTGATTTTGGGGGTTATGGTAATAACAGTAAAGGAATTAGGGGCCAAAAATAAGCATTTTTGTAACTTCCAGACATAACTTGTGTGTTAGTGTATGGATCTCTCTGACATTGTACCACAAGGTTCCATATCACTAAAGGAATGCTGGGATTGATTTTGGGGGTAATTGCCTCCAAATTTTAGGAATTAGGGGCCAAAAAAGGGGCAAAAAACAAGCATTTTTCTAGTTTCATGACAATAACTTGTGTGTAAGTGTATGGATCTTTCTGAAATTGTACTACAAGGTTCCATATCACAAAGGGAAAGCTGGGTTTGAGTTTGGGGGTAATTGCCCTAAACGTTTAGGAATTTGGGGCCAAAAAGGGGCCAAAAAACAATTTTTTTTCTAGTTTCCAGACAATAACTTGTGTTCAAGTGTATGGATCTCTCTGAAATTGTACTGCAAGGTACCATACCACAAAGGGAAGGCTGGGATTGAGTTTGGGGGTGATGAATCATAATGGGGGTTCAAAAAATTTTGGGGGGGGATTTATTTTTTTTTCCTTTTTTTTCTTTTTTTCCTTTTTTGTTTCTTTTAAAATTTTCCATTTTAAGTTGGTTATTTCTGATTTATATTTAAAATCAAATAATAATGATATGGTAGGAGATACACACCAAACAGGATGTGTAAATTATTATATAATAAGTATTGTGCAATAGCAAGAAATTTTCAATTGCACAGTATTGCACAATAGCAAGAAATCTTCAATTGCACAGTATTGCGCAATAGCAAGAAATCTTCAATTGCACAGTATTGCGCAATAGCAAGAAATATCCAATAGCACAATATTGCGCAATAGCAAGAAATTGTCAATTGTACAGTATTGCGCAATAGCAAGAAATATTTAATAGCACAGGATTGTGCAAAAGAAGATACTTCCTATAAATTGCTTATTTCTTGACCAATTTCAATGGGGTTTTATTCTTGATTTCATGGGGTTCTTTAATATGCTGAATCTAACCGTGTATTTAGTTTTTGGATTTTGGGCCCCGTTTTTAAATTGGTCCACATTGAGGTCCAAATGTCCAAAATTAAACTTTGTTTGATTTCATCAAAAATTGAATTATTGGGGTTCTTTGATATGCCGAATCTAACTGTGTATTTAGATTCTTAAATTTTGGTTCCGTTTTCAAATTGGTCTACATTAAGGTCCAAAGGGTCCAAAATTAAACTTAGTTTGATTTTAACAAAAATTGAATTCTTAGGGTTCTTTGATATGCTGAATCTAAACATGTATTTAGATTTTTTATTATGGGCCCAGTTTTCAAGTTGGTCCAAATCGGGGTCCAAAATTAAACTTTGTTTGATTTCAACAAAAATTGAATATATGGGGTTCTTTGATATGCTGAATCTAACCATGTATTTAGAGTTTTGATTTTTGGGCCCCGTTATCAACTTTGTCCACATTGGGGTCAAAAGGGTCCAAAATTAAACTTTGTTTGATTTCATCAAAAATTGAATTATTGGGGTTCTTTGATATGCCGATTCTAACCGTGTATTTAGATTCTTAATTTTTGGTTCCGTTTTCAAATTGGTCTACATTAAGGTCCAAAGGGTCCAAAATTAAACTTAGTTTGATTTTAACAAAAATTGAATTCTTAGGGTTCTTTGATATGCTGAATCTAAACATGTATTTAGATTTTTGATTATGGGCCCAGTTTTCAAGTTGGTCCAAATCGGGGTCCAAAATTAAACTTTGTTTGATTTCAACAAAAATTGAATATATGGGGTTCTTTGATATGCTGAATCTAACCATGTATTTAGATTTTTGATTTTTGGGCCCCGTTATCAACTTTGTCCACATTGAGGTCAAAAGGGTCCAAAATTAAACTTTGTTTGATTTCATCAAAAATTGAATTCTTGGGGTTCTTTGATATGCTGAATCTAACCAAGTATTTAGATTTTGGATATTGGACCATAATAGGTGAATGTCCAATTTAAAATTTTTAAGTTCTTAGACCACATTCAATCTGTGTTAGAAACCTATGCTGTGTCAAATATTTAATCACAATCCAAATCCAAAGCTGTATCAAGCTTGAATGTTGTGTCCATACTTCCCCCAACTGTTCAGGGTTCGACCTCTGCGGTCGTATCAAGCTGCGCCCTGCGGAGCATTTTATTAAAACTAGATACCCTAATGATGATTGTGGCCAAGTTTGGTTAAATTTGGCCCAGTGGTTTCAGAGGAGAAGATTTTTGTAAAAAGCTAACGACGACGACGGACGCCAAGTGATGAGAAAAGCTCACTTGGCCCTTCGGGCCAGGTGAGCTAAAAATTAACCATTGAATCTTTTTCAATTGAAAAAAAAAAAAAACTTGAAAAAATATATTTGACATCTGACTGTTTTCATAAATCTAACAATATTTAATTATATGTAATAAGGTTATATTTTGAAAGATATGTTGATGTGATCAGGCTTTAATTAAAACCAAAAATAAAATCTTAAGACTTCAGGGTGAAATCAATAGCACCCCTTTAAAAGTAAATGGTCTGTACTGAAATGTTTTGACTGCATAAAAAAATGGCAGCATAGCTCCTAAGGACATGTTTTAATTCAATTCACACAAGCCACACTGTTTGGGTATATTTAATATTGTAAGAGGGAGAAGAATTGCAATGAGTGGGGTAGCTCCCCTTATCCTAAAGGAGCATACTCATTGCAATAGAAGATAGATTTAACATAGAGAAAGTATATTTATTTTTACAAGCCAACCATTCATTTTCTTTACATCTTTGTGTAGTTTCTGTGGCTTCTTATAGATTTGGCATTGTCTATCGATTATAAATTTCAAATGCGCCCTTCCTGACTTGTTTACAGGTATCCATGAAGTCATGGAGAAGTGGTTTCATCCTTGTTGTCTTCACAATGTTTTATAGAAACTATGGCATACTTCAGGCTGCTGTCAAATTGTTTAACAAATTGATATTGGTTCCATAAAGTCAGGCTCAAGAGATTCTGTACCCGATCTGTTTCAGATTGAAACGGTTATCGTGTCGGTTTTATGAATATCCGCTGCATCATGCGTTCTCAAATCGTCAATGATATCTGTCTGAATCTGTATAAACAGTTTACTATTAAAATTTTTTTGGTTATTTGTTTTAAAATTGACAGAAAACGACAGCGCAAAGTACTCCTCCATGTCTTCATCGATACCTGTAAACAATCTCCATGTGCTTTATTATTAAACGGTCCCATGTACGCTTGACAAGAAGGTAAGAAAAACCAAACTTGAAACGTGTAATCGACCCAGACTTTAAATCAATTCCGGAAACGACTAGAAGTTCCTGATTGCGTCAATAGAAAAATAAAAATAATTTCTTCAAATTAAAAGCAATAAAATTTTCACAGTCGGGCGGATTTTCGAGGGTCGGTCGGTAAACTGCAAACAAACAATATTTTAATTAAAGCCTCAAACAATTTAAAATTTTTTTTTTTTGCTTAAAGATTGCATTATTAATTTTTTTTCATCATGTATGTGGATATGACATAGATTGTATTATGTAATGTGTTTCTAGGTGGATATGACATAGATTGTATTATGTTATGTGTTTCTAGGTGGATATGACATAGATTGTATTATGTAATGTGTTTCTAGGTGGGTATGGAGACTTCAGCAGTGGTTATGGTGGAGGATATGATGATGGTAGTGGTGGTTATGGAGGTGGCTACAACCAAGGTGGTGGATATAACCAAGGTTATGGTGACAGTGGATATAGCAGTGGTTATGGAGGTGGACAAGGTTAGTATTGGGAAGCTTACTACGCTAAAATATGAACTGGGGGGAAAAAAGAAAAATGGAAAGTTGAGATAGTACTGCTTTGTGTCAAAAATTTGTCGTCATGAGATACCATATCTCTTGCCAAGATAGCATATGGATGTAATACACCAGATTTTGCTGTATTTTTTTTTTTTTTTTTTAGACTGGTCAAATATAAAAAAGATGTGGTATGATTGCCAATGAGACAACTCTCCACAAGAGACCAAATGACACAGAAATAAACAACTATAGGTCACCGTACGGCCTTCAACAATGAGCAAAGCCCATACCGCATGTCATCTTCATACATTTTGTGATAAAATAAACAAAAGTAAGAATGTACAATGAGGGTTTTCAAATTCATGTCAAAAAGGTCCAACACCTTGGATAAAACAAAGCTTGGCTTTATTAATGTTGCATGGTTGGATTTTTATTCCATTGTACACAGTAACATGTGACAAAAAACAAACTCAAAATTGTCCATTTAATTATGGCTCTTATATACAATTAAACAATGACCGTGAGATGGCTTTATAGCCAGTCAAGGTCGTTAAACACTCCCGTAGTAGTAAAAAATTAAGTGTCACTGATAGAACCAAATGACAGAATAAACAATTTATCAACTTACTTTAAAATCATGCACCAGTTGGTCAATTAGTCAATTGTCTATATGATTCTCCATGGACAGTTGAAAATTATAAATCAAACAGAGTTGTTGAAATCTAAGTTTTTCAATCCTTGTGGCCTATGTATCATTTTCATGTTTAGTATTAAACACGATGCATTTTTGTTGTACGGGATGGAGGAATTTCAGCATCTCTACTATGAAGCAGGTTCTAGTTTTATTTTTAATCTTAAGAAAATATAAAATTGGTCATAAGAGTAAATCTATATGAAACAAAATGGTATAGTATGATAATACTATTGGCTCTTCTTATACCAGGTTACCCATATGAATGCCTCAGGGAAATATAAGCTAGTGATCCCTAATAAATATTTGCCTGCGTTTTTAATTTACACCTGACAGTGATCACAGCTCAGAATTAATATTATAAACTTTGATGACAACTTTCTTCGTTATTTCATTACTTTTCACCAAAGACAATCATCAATTCGTATTTGAAAAATTAAAACTTGGTTAGATTTACTTAGAAAAAAGTAATTTTCACGAGTCAAACGTGTACTTTATTTACTATGTTAATACGCATGCGTGAAATTGTCTTCACCAGATTAGACACTTAATCGTAAAATGCAAAATGATTTCATGCTCAATTTAATGATTGCAACTATTATATGTTATATTCCCATACCTTATTAAAAAGGTATAGTCAAACCTGCATCAAGCAGTTATTTATGGGAAGCATCAAAACTGCATTAAGCAGTCATTTATGGGAAGTATCAAAAGTGACCGCTCAAGAGAGGTGACTTCTTAAATAAGGTTTCAAAAAATAAAATCTGACTCAGACATCGCATATGTCCGGGATAAGGGCAAATTGTTTTTTATACGACCGCAAAAATTAAAAATTTTTTGGTCGTATATTGGTATGACGGCGTCGTCGTCGTCGTCCAAAGACACATTGGTTTTCGCACTCTAACTTTAGTTTAAGTGAATGGATCTCCATGAAATTTTACCATAAGGTTCAATACCACGAAAGGAAGGTTGGGATTGATTTTGGGGGTTATGGTACCAACAGTTAAGGAATTAGGGGCCAAAAATAAGCATTTTTGTAACTTCCAGACAATAACTTGTGTGTAAGTGTATGGATCTCTCTGACATTGTACCACAAGGTTCCATATCTCAAAGGGAAGGCTATAATTGATTTTGGGGGTATTTGCCTCAAAATTTTAGGAATTAGGGGCCAAAAAAGGGGCAAAAAACAAGCATTTTTCTAGTTTCATGACAATAACTTGTGTTTAAGTGTTTGGATATTTCTGAAATTGTACTACAAGGTTCCATATCACAAAGGGAAAGCTGGAATTGAGTTTGGGGGTAATTGCCCGAAACGTTTAGGAATTGGGGGCCAAAAATAAGCATTTTTCTAGTTTCCAGACAATAACTTGTGTTCAAGTGTATGGATCTCTCTGAAATTGTACTGCAAGGTACCATACCACAAAGGGAAGGCTGGGATTGAGTTTGGGGGTGATGAATCATAAGGGGGTTCAAAAAATTTGGGGGGGGGATTTTTTTTTTTCTTTTTTATTCTTTTTTCTTTTTTTTTTCTTTTAAAATTTTCCATTTTAAGTTGGTTATTTCTGATTTATATTTAAAAGCAAATAATAATGATATGGTAGGAGATACACACCAAACAGGATGTGTAAATTATTATATAATAAGTATTGTGCAATAGCAAGAAATTTTCAATTGCACAGTATTGCACAATAACAAGAAATCTTCAATTGCACAGTATTGCGCAATAGCAAGAAATCTTCAATTGCACAGTATTGCGCAATAGCAAGAAATATCCAATAGCACAATATTGCGCAATAGCAAGAAATTGTCAATTGTACAGTATTGCGCAATAGCAAGAAATATTCAATTGCACAGTATTGTGCAAAAGAAGATACTTCGTATAAATTGCTTATTTCTTGATCAATTTCAATGGGGTTTTATTCTTGAATTCTTGGGGTTCTTTAATATGCTGAATCTAACCGTGTATTAAGTTTTTGGATTTTTAAATTGGTCCACATTGAGGTCCAAAGGGTCCAAAATTTAACTTTGTTTGATTTCATCAAAAATTGAATTATTGGGGTTCTTTGATATGCCGAATCTAACCGTGTATATAGATTCTTAATTTTTGGTTCCGTTTTCAAATTGGTCTACATAAAGGTCCAAAGGGTCCAAAATTAAACTTAGTTTGATTTTAACAAAAATTGAATTTTTAGGGTTCTTTGATATGCTGAATCTAAACATGTATTTAGATTTTTTATTATGGGCCCAGTTTTCAAGTTGGTCCAAATCAGGGTCCAAAATTAAACTTTGTTTGATTTCAACAAAAATTGAATATATGGGGTTCTTTGATATGCTGAATCTAACCATGTATTTAGATTTTTGATTTTTGGGCCCCGTTATCAACTTTGTCCACATTGAGATCAAAAGGGTCCAAAATTAAACTTTGTTTGATTTCATCAAAAATTGAATTCTTTGGGTTCTTTGATATGCTGAATCTAACCATGTATTTAGATTTTGGATATTGGACCATAATAGGTGAATGTCCAATTTAATAAAATTTTTAAGTTCTAAGACCACATTCATTCTGTGTCAGAAACCTATGCTGTGTCAAATATTTAATCACAATCCAAATTCAGAGCTGTATCAAGCTTGAATGTTGTGTCCATACTTGCCCCAACTGTTCAGGGTTCGACCTCTGCGGTCGTATCAAGCTGCGCCCTGCGGAGCATTTTACTAGTGTTTTCAATTGATAAGAGTTATTATTCATGCCAGTAGACATATAAACTTGGAAATAACTTTTATCAGGTGTTGGATACACCTACTATGAAATCAGAGGTGTGCCTTTGAATGGCAAGATATTTATCAAGACAAGACAATGGCGGATTCCTGTGTTCTGAATGTGAAGAAAACATTCGAAATAGTTACTATTTTTGTATAAATAAGTCGATGATGAAGTTTTCAGTGGAAACTGAAAGGATTTCACCTCTTATTGCTCTATCTCCAGTTGTAAACAGGTTCCAATTCTCATTTTGACCTCGATATTTAACACATGTTTTTAGTTATGGTTATATTTTGGTTGTTAAAACTATCAAAATGGTCGTCGTCAGAAGTTGAAAAGGACAATTTAGTACAAAACTAAGGTGAACACTGAATGTGTTAGACAGGTGACTGCTGAAAAGAGTTAAATTATGCGGAGAAAACATTTGGGAGGGTCTGAAAGTGACTGTAAGAGGCAGGTGACTGATGAAGTGCGGGGCTGTTGAAGCAGGTTTGACTGTAATAGAATTAAAAAATCAGATCATTTCCTGTCAATTTGATAAACAGAACAAACTTCAGAAATGAATATGGAATTATTTGCACTTTAGTATTAACGTGAAACTTCCAGTTTTTATTTTGTCTTCATGAAAGAAGCGTTAGCAATTCTTGAGAAATTTACCGTTTTTGAGTCATTAAAATCATTTCAATTTGAGACTCTTGCATTCCATAATTTGTTCTTGAACGTTTTTAGAAAAACGGTAAGAAAATTCATGAAGTAAATGCGATGAAACAGTCAATACAAGTTTGTTGATGCTATGAGTCTAGTGTGAATAATTTTGACAGTTTGAAAGATGGGTCCCAACTTTTAAGTTATCTGAAAATGACCGGTTGTGTGAAAAAATTTCTGGTTCCTTTCTTGTACATTAACATGTATACTAAATTGACACGACACAAATGGTTTGAAACTGGTAACAAGAATTAAAAGCATGCAATTTTTCCAGTGTTAACTTTGGAGGCCCGCACATCCCACACAAAAAGATGGGAGCACATTAAAAATTTACTTTTCCATATGATGCTTTTCGAACTTGTCCCAGTTGAATATCAGGTAACTGTTTCTTGTTAATTTGTTAATGATGACTTTTTTTCTTAAAATAAATGGGTTATTATTTTGAAGGAGATTGGAACCAACAGTTTGGACAAGGTTATGGTGGTAATTCTGGAGGTGGACCAATGAGAGGAGGACAGTATGGAGGCAGTCAGAGAGGAGGAGGGGGAACACCTTATCAGAGTTAGTTCTCTTTGTATTTAATGCAAACTTGTTTTATTTATTTTTTATACCCACTAAACATGGAATTTTTCATAAATCATGTAAATGTTTAATATCGAGTGGGGGTATACATCATGTGCATCAAATTTTAATTTAGATTTTTGAATACCAGGTGCTGACCAAAGACTAGTTTTACCTGACATGATATGAGAGGAAGAAAAAGTTTTATCTTCAAAACATAACTTCATAGTCAGATTTTTGCATATAAACCTTGAAATGGAGATACATTTGTTTCAAGACACAAAAAAACAAGATCACCACAAGTGTGATCGATGTATAAGCAGTGTTCTCCCCAGGCCCTTAAAGGACCGCATGCCCGCGATGTATAATTTTTCACCGTGGTGGTATCGTTCTTACCGCGATGTATAATTTTTCTCCGTGGTGCTAAAATTTTCAGTTAAAAAATGGTAAATCGGTAAAGTTTTAAACGACTTGTTAAATCTTTTCCGTGCGGTATAAAATTCCAGGTGAAATTTGACCAGTTCAACACAGATTGTTTACACCACGTGATCGATTTACCTTTATGAGGTTAACCTTTGTTGATTGGATTTAATCGATGTAATTAACACTTTTTACATGATTCTTTTGTGTTTTAATTTAGAGATGATAACTTTATGATCAAAGATAACTATTTTAAGGCTTCACTCATCACCTGACAAGTCGGCAAATACTTTGTAAACAAACGGTGTTGACCCGATAGTTGTACACACGACGGTACATATTTTGTACATTATAAAGTTAGCTCAATACTTATATTATAGTTTTATATGTCTCTGATTAAGCCATGGCCAAAATTATCTTTAATTATGACATAGTTATTGCATGATATTCCGATTTCAAACTGTCAACAAGTAATTCAAAGGGGAAGGATCACATGACCCAGTTAGTTCACGTAGAATATTCAAGATTATTTACAATTAACTGCAATCTATTCTATTTTATAAATAAAATGCATGACTGTACCTTCAAACTGGATATATATATCCATATGATCATTAATGAATAACAGAAGTGAGCTTGCAATTTTAATCCATAAGCACATGTTAAATCTATTTATATCTACCTCCTGTTATTTAGGCGGGAAAATAGGGAGACTTTGTTGTTGACATTGAATATGCTACTTCTAGATCTTTAGACCTAAGATAAATTTATAGATTTAGGAATTCTTTTTAAATGGATCATGAAAAATAAAGATTTAGATTTCAGTGTAGTATTAAGTCTGTATCTATGTTTGATTATCACCAAACACAAGAAAGGTTAATATTTACATGTTTATGAAATCTATGGCAAAATGTTTTAAAATTTATGAAAAATTTCTTTTTATTAAAATTTAAGATAGAAACTGGTTCAAATTATTACACAATTTTGTTCTTGTTAATTTTAAATCTCCTTATGACAGGAATCCTTTCACATACAACAACTTTCTTTCTAGAAACTAGAAAGTTTTTTAAATTGAACATTTTTGTTCTCTTTTGAATCTGGGAACAGTATATCTAACAATTTATATGTTCCTGTTTGAATGATATTTTATTTTTATTGATCATGGATTTAAAAAAAAATTTAATTACTTTAAATTTAGATGAATATTATGTAATGAATCATGTTTTATTTATTTTTAAAAAATATTAAAAGTATACAAACTGTTTATTGATCTTTTTAACCAATAATATTCTGACATAACACAGTACCACAGTATTAAAACTAAACAAGAGACATAAAAAATGCAGTAATTAGAAATATAGCGACGCAACGCGACACAACTGATTGTTTGAATCATTTCACCAAGCTGTTCACACGCATTACCCTGGTGCTATCCAAAAATCCTGGGGAGAACACTGGTATAAGAGAGCATATATTTTATTGTTTTCAAATGGAATATTACAAAAATGTTTTCAAAGTTTAACAATTGACATCAGATTATAAAAAATAATCATTTCGAAGTCCTAAGGATTTTCTACAAGTTTGGCATACAAGATTATAATCCTGATATCATTGATGAGGTTTTTTTTATGCATATGAACATAAATATATATATATCTCTGCCTCCAAGGTATGTAGGAAGAGACTGATTTTTATACGACCGCAAAAATTAAAAATTTTTTGGCCGTATATTGGTATGACGTTGGCGTCGTCGTCCGAAGACACATGGGTTTTCGCACTCTAACTTTAGTTTAAGTGAATGGATCTCCATGAAATTTCACCATAAGGTTCAATACCACGAAAGGAAGGTTGGGATTGATTTTGGGGGTTATGGTACCAACAGTTAAGGAATTAGGGGCCAAAAAGGGGCCAAAAATAAGCATTTTTGTAACTTTCAGACAATAACTTGTGTGTTAGTGTATGGATCTCTCTGACATTGTACCACAAGGTTCCATATCACAAAGGGAAGGCTGTAATTGATTTTGGGGGTAATTGCCTCAAAATTTTAGGAATTAGGGGCCAAAAAAGGGGCAAAAAACAAGCATTTTTCTAGTTTCATGACAATAACTTGTGTGTAAGTGTTTGGATATTTCTGAAATTGTACTACAAGGTTCCATATCACAAAGGGAAAGCTGGAATTGAGTTTGGGGGTAATTGCCCGAAACGTTTAGGAATTGGGGGCCAAAAAGGGGCCAAAAATAAGCATTTTTCTAGTTTCCCGACAATAACTTGTGTTCAAGTGTATGGATCTCTCTGAAATTGTACTGCAAGGTACCATACCACAAAGGGAAGGCTGGGATTGAGTTTGGGGGTGATGAATCATAAGGGGGTTCAAAAAATTTGGGGGGGGGGGATTTTTTTTTTTTTTTTTTTTCTTTTTTTCCTTTTTTTTTTTCTTTTAAAATTTTCCATTTTAAGTTGGTTATTTCTGATTTATATTTAAAAGCAAATAATAATGATATGGTAGGAGATACACACCAAACAGGATGTGTAAATTATTATATAATAAGTATTGTGCAATAGCAAGAAATTTTCAATTGCACAGTATTGCACAATAGCAAGTAATCTTCAATTGCACAGTATTGCGCAATAGCAAGAAATCTTCAATTGCACAGTATTGCGCAATAGCAAGAAATATCCAATAGCACAATATTGCGCAATAGCAAGAAATTGTCAATTGTGCAGTATTGCGCAATAGCAAGAAATATTCAATTGCACAGTATTGTGCAAAAGAAGATACTTCGTATAAATTGCTTATTTCTTGATCATTTTCAATGGGGTTTTATTCTTGAATTCTTGGGGTTCTTTAATATGCTGAATCTAACCGTGTATTAAGTTTTTGGATTTTGGGCCCCGTTTTTAAATTGGTCCACATTGAGGTCCAAAGGGTCCAAAATTTAACTTTGTTTGATTTCATCAAAAATTGAATTATTGGGGTTCTTTGATATGCCGAATCTAACCGTGTATTTAGATTTTTAATTTTGGGTCCCGTTTTTATACGCCCGTTTACGGGACGTATTATGGTATACCGTTGTCCGTCTGTCCGTCCGTCTGTCCGTCTGTCTGTCCGTCGTCAACATGTCGGACATTAACTCAAAAATGCTTTAACCAATTTGCATAAAACTTTGGTGAATTGTTTATATCTATTGACGTGAGCTCCCTTTCGTTTTTTATAAAATTTAGATTTTACGTTTCCGAGTTATGGGGTTTTATTCATTAAAAAAAGGGGGATTTTCCAGTTTTTGGACAATAATTCAAGAATGCTTTCACCAACTTGCAAGAAATTGTGGTGAATTGTTTATATCTATTGACATGAGCTCCCTTTCAATTTTTATAAATTTTAGATTTTACGTTTCCGAGTTGCAGGGTTTTATTCATGAAAAAAGGGGGGATTTTCCAGTTTTCGGACAAAAACTCAAAAATGCTTTCAGCAATTCTAATGAAACTTTGGTGAATTGTTTGTATGTATTGATGTAAGCTCCCTTTAGAATTTTATAAATTTTACATTTTACACTTCTGAGTTATGGGGTTTTATTCATTAAAAAAGGGGTGATTTTCCAGTTTTCGGACAATAACTCAAAAATGCTGTCACCAATTCTCAAGAAACTTTGGTGAATTGTTTATATCTATTGATGTAAGCTCCCTTTTTATTTTCATAAATTTCTAATATGACATTGAGAATTAATTGAACTTTATTTGTTTATAGTCTGACAACAGATTTACTAAGTATTGCACAACAGCAAGAAATCTTTAATTGAATATAAATTCAATTCATATAACCAATTTCAAGATCTTTGACTACATTTATTCAGAAACCTATAATATGTCAAATATTTAATTACAATCCAAATTCGGACCTGAATCAAGCTTGAATATTGTGTCCATTTTTGTCCCAACTGTTCAGGGTATGACCTCTGCGGGCGTATCTAGCTGCGCTAAGCGAAGCAGTTTATTTAAATTGGTCTACATTAAGGTCCAAAGGGTCCAAAATTAAACTTAGTTTGATTTTAACAAAAATTGAATTCTTGGGGTTCTTTGATATGCTGAATCTAAACATGTGTTTAGATTTTTGATTATGGGCCCAGTTTTCAAGTTGGTCCAAGTTGGGTCCAAAATTAAACTTTGTTTGATTTCAACAAAAATTGAATATATGGGGTTCTTTGATATGCTGAATCTAAACATGTATTTAGATTTTAGATTTTTGGCCCAGTTTTCAAGTTGGTCCAAATTGGGGTCCAAAATTAAACTTTGTTTGATTTCAACAAAAATTGAATATATGGGGTTCTTTGATATGCTGAATCTTACCATGTATTTAGATTTTTTATTTGTGGGCCCGCTATCAAATTGGTTCATATTGAGGTCAAAAGGGTCCAAAATTAAACTTTGTTTGATTTCATCAAAAATTGAATTATTGGGGTTCTTTGATATGCCAAATCTAACCGTGTATTTAGATTTTTAATTTTGGGTCCTGTTTTTTAAATTGGTCTACATAAGGTCCAAAGGGTCCAAAATTAAACTTAGTTTGATTTTAACAAAAATTGAATTTTTGGGGTTCTTTGATATGCTGAATCTAAACATGTGTTTAGATTTTTGATTATGGGACCAGTTTTCAAGTTGGTCCAAGTTGGGGTCCAAAATTAAACTCTGTTTGATTTCAACAAAAATTGAATATATGGGGTTCTTTGATATGCTGAATCTAAACATGTATTTAGATTTTAGATTTTTGGCCCAGTTTTCAAGTTGATCCAAATTGGGGTCCAAAATTAAACTTTGTTTGATTTCAACAAAAATTGAATATATGGGGTTCTATGATATGCTGAATCTTACCATGTATTTAGATTTTTTATTTGTGGGCCCGCTATCAAATTGGTTCATATTGAGGTCAAAAGGGTCCAAAATTAAACTTTGTTTGATTTCATCAAAAATTGAATTATTGGGGTTCTTTGATATGCCAAATCTAACCGTGTTTTTAGATTTTTAATTTTGGGTCCCGTTTTTTAAATTTGTCTACATTAAGGTCCGAAGGGTCCAAAATTAAACTTAGTTTGATTTTAACAAAAATTGAATTCTTCGGGTACTTTGATATGCTGAATCTAAACATGTGTTTAGATTTTTATACGACCGCAAAAAAATTTTGTGGTCGTATATTGGTATGACGTTGGCGTCGTCGTCGTCGTCGTCGTCGTCGTCGTCGTCGTCGTCGTCGTCGTCCGGCGTCGTCGTCCGAATACATATTGGTTTTCGCACTCTAACTTTAGTTTAAGTGAATGGATCTTTTTGAAATTTGACCATAAGGTTAAATACCACAAAAGGAAGGTTGGGATTGATTTTGGGGGTTATGGTACCAACAGTTAAGGAATTAGGGGCCAAAAAGGGGCCAAAAATGAGCATTTTCTAGTTTCCAGACAATAACTGTGGAACGGTGTATGGATCTCTCTGAAATTATACTACAAGTTGCCATACCACAAAGGGATGGTTAGGATTTGCTTTGGGGGGTTATGGCTCAAACCGTTTAGGAATTAGGGGCAAAAAAGGGGGAAAAACAAGGTTGTCCTGGTTAATGGACAAATACTTTAGTTCAAAACATAATTTAAAGCAGTGTAAGGGAGATAAATCAAATACATCATTGAAATTATCTCCCTTACACTGCTTTTAAATTATGTATAAAGTAATGGTTAATGAACAATAAAGATAATCTAAAACAGTGTAAGGGAGGTAATCCAAATACAACGTTTTGGTTACTTCCCTTACACTGCTTTTAAATTATGTTTAAAGAAATGCATATTTATAAAGGAAGACCAGTAAAAATATCTGCAAATGTTTTCATCTTTTTTTTTTACAAAAAGATCCATATGAAAGATTTGACACTATATTTTTATTAATTCTATTATAAAATAGATTAAGTTAGCACTATGGTAAATTTAAATGGGTAATTATGGTTGCCAACTCCATTGGAAATTTGAATTGAGATTATGACCATATCTTGAGGGATATAATTTTTTGGGGGGAAAAAAGGGGGGGGGGGTAAAAAGAAATTGTGGGGGGGCCAATTTTTTCTCATTTCATATTTCAGAAATTAAAAAGAATTATTCTTCAAATAGTTTTTTTTTTCAAATTTCAAATATTGAAAAATTTCAAGAAGTAATCTTTAATTGCACAGTATGGCGCATTAGATTTGTAAAATCTTTGATCACATTTATTTATTTGTTATGCCGAATCTAACAGTGTATTTAGATTTTTAATTTTGGGTCCAGTTTTCAAATTGCATTAATGTCCAAAGGGTCCAAAATTAAACTTAGTTTGATTTTAGCAAAAATTGAATATATGAGGTTCTTTGATATGCTGAATCTAAACATGTATTTAGATTTTTGATTTTTGGCCCAGTTTTCAAGTTGGTCCAAATTGGGGTCCAAAATTAAACTTTGTTTGATTTCAACAAAAATTGAATATATGGGGTTCTTTGATATGCTGAATCTAACCATGTATTTAGATTTTTTATTTGTGGACCCCGTTATCTAATTGGTTCATATTGCGGTCAAAAGGGTCCAAAATTAAACTTTGTTTGATTTCATCTAAAATTGAATTATTGGGGTTCTTTGATATTCCAAATCTAACCGTGTATTTAGGTTTTTAATTTTGGGTCCTGTTTTTTAAATTGGTCTACATTGAGGTCCAAAGGGTCCAAAATTAAACTTAGTTTGATTTTAACAAAAATTGAATTCTTGGGGTTCTTTGATTTGCTGAATCTAAACATGTGTTTAGATTTTTGATTATGGGCCCAGTTTTCAAGTTGGTCCAAGATAGGGTCCAGTATTTAAACTTTGTTTGATTTCAACAAAAATTGAATGTATGGGGTTCTTTGATATGCTGAATCTAAACATGTGTTTAGATTTTTGATTATGGGCCCAGTTTTCAAGTTGGTCCAAATTGGGGTCCAAAATTAAACTTTGTTTGATTTCAACAAAAATTGAATATATGAGGTTCTTTGATATGCTGAATCTAACCATGTATTTAGATTTTTTATTTGTAGGCCCCGCTATCAAATTGGTTCATATTGAGGTCAAAAGGGTCCAAAATTAAACTTTGTTTGATTTCATCGAAAATTGAATTATTGGGGTTCTTTGATATGCCAAATCTAACCGTGTTTTTAGATTTTTAATTTGGGTCCCGTTTTTTAAATTGGTCTTCATTGAGGTCCAAAGGGTCCAAAATTAAACTTAGTTTGATTTTAACAAAAATTGAATTCTTGGGGTTCTTTGATATGCTGAATCTAAACATGTGTTTAGATTTTTGATTATGGGCCCTGTTTTCAAGTTGGTCCAAGTTGGGGTCCAAAATTAAACTTTTTTTGATTTCAACAAAAATTGAATATATGGGGTTCTTTGATATGCTGAATCTAACCATGAATTTAGATTTTTTATTTGTGGGCCCCGCTATCAAATTGGTTCATATTGAGGTCAAAAGGGTCCAAAATTAAACTTTGTTTGATTTCATCAAAAATTGAATTATTGGGGTTCTTTGATATTACAAATCTAACCGTGTATTTAGATTTTTAATTTTAAGTCCCGTTTTTTAAATTGGTCTACATTAAGGTCCAAAGGGTCCAAAATTAAACTTAGTTTGATTTTAGCAAAAATTGAATTCTTGGGGTTCTTTGATATGCTGAATCTAAACATGTGTTTAGATTTTTGATTATGGGCCCAGTTTTCAAGTTTGTCCAAGTTGGGGTCCAAAATTAAACTTTCTTTGATTTTAACAAAAATTGAATATATGGGGTTCTTTGATATGCTGAATCTAACCATGTATTTTGATTTTGGACATTGGACCATAATAGGTAAATTAAAAAAATTCAAGTTCTTAGACCACATTCTTTCTGTGTCAGAAACCTATGCTGTGTCAAATATTTAATAACAATCCAAATTCAGAGCTGTATCAAGCTTGAATGTTGTGTCCATACTTGCCCCAACTGTTCAGGGTTCGACCTCTGCGGTCGTATCAAGCTGCGCCCCAGCGAAGCATTTTATTGATTATGGGACCAGTTTTCAAGTTTGTCCAAGTTGGGGTCCAAAATTAAACTTTGTTTGATTTCAACAAAAATTGAATATATGGGGTTCTTTGATATGCTGAATCTAACCATGTATTTTGATTTTGGACATTGGACCATAATAGGTAAATTAAAAAAATTGAAGTTCTTAGACCACATTCTTTTTGTGTCAGAAACCTATGCTGTGTCAAATATTTAATCACAATCCAAATTCAGAGCTGTATCAAGCTTGAATGTTGTGTCCATACTTGCCCCAACTGTTCAGGGTTCGACCTCTGCGGTCGTATCAAGCTGCGCCCAGCGAAGCATTTTATTTATTCATAATTCATTAATTTCTCTATTATGAGAGTCATCAAATGGACTGAAGCACTGATATGAAAATTGAAAACTGACATATACATTTGTTGTAGGTTATGGAAGAGGGGGAGGAGGCGGTGGATACAATCGATAAGTTTTCATCTTCATTTCATTATTTCAGGTAAATAGTATTTACTAGTCGCAAAGAATGTATGTTGTATTCAGGTGTAAAGATTGATCACCTTTACTATTTAATAAGTGTTGTTCAAACAATAATGTTAACCCATCTGTTATAAACAAATATATCCAGGAACAACTTTCCCAAAATGTTGAAACTTTTTACCAGTTATGTCCAACCTAAACCATGTCCGAATCTGTTTAAAGGACTAAAATCCACTCAGGGTAGGCACTTTGAAATCAGTTGTCTGGTGAATGGAATCGGATGTTATAATTTTTCTTTGTCTGAAATAATTTTAACATAATTAATTGTATTGATATGAATCTTGTTCATTTTCCTAAAAAAAAACAGTGTTGATATGTACCAGACATTTGATAAATAGTTTACAGTGTAAAATTTTGTCCAAACTTAAAAAAGTTAGTGGGTTGATTGTTAAGATAAGGTTGACAAGTGGAGTTTTGGCTTCTCAAGAGAGAAAAATGTACAAGTGGTAGATGCTTTAAAATAAAATCTGATATAACCTGGAAATTTCCTAATTAGATTTAGGAGCAACTTGGATTATTTAATCTTATAGTAATAAGTAAAATTAAATTCATTTGCATTTGTGATAATTTTAATGTTATACACTAGCAGTTGGACTGGTGTGGAAGGCCTATATAAGTCATTTAATTCATCTATTAAGGACCACTTTTTCCTGAATTCTGGTCACATTTACACGTTCTCTTCTAGTTGATATCTAAACTTGAAATATTCAATGTGTTATGTAAACTTTTGTTTTTATATTTTATAGTACTTTTAAATATTTTATAATAATATTCTTCTTATACATTACATTAGGCAGGTATATAGGCAGCAGACATCAATAGGACACATGTTAAGCATCCTTTTGTTAAGGAGGTCCTAGGTTGCAGAAAAATCAACATAAACATTCCAGTTAAGTCATTAAGGGAAGGAATAGGATGCCGCACAGAACTGCTTTACTACCCCTTAAGTAGATAAGGGAAAGAACTACACCGAACTGCTTTGTATTCGATCCAGTTTAACTATTAAGGGAAGGAAGCTAGATGGAATTGTTTTACCACCCGTAAGATGTTAGGGGATAACAGAACTGGCTAACTACCCCTTAACTAGTTAAGAGAAGGAACTCAATAGAAGTGCTAAGTATTTTATCCAAATAAGGGACAACAGAACGAAATAACATCCATTTAACTAAATGGTTAAGTGAAGGAACTCCAGCAGATGGCTTAAGTAAACAAATTAAGCAGTTAAGGGAAGCATTTCCAACTGAATAAAATACTTCACTTTGAATAAGTGGTAAAATGACGGATCAAACTGCTTTAGAAGTAGTTTAGGGATAGTATTACAGTTCAACAGAAGTTTATTTTCCATATAGGTAAGGCAAGGAAAAATGAATTAAGTTATCTATTCCTCAACTGATTATATCATATTAGGTGTTAAGGAAAGCTGTTGAATCTCAAGCTGATTTTTTTCATACATTGTTTCATAGGTTGATGCTTTAAGATTTCCTAGTGAAATAATTTCTCATTTAACATTAGTTTTGAAATATACCTGTCTGAAATTGAATATACCCATGAATTTGGTTGTTGTTAATTATTATGTCCATCATGATGTTATAAAATTGAAAATATTGTGTTTTTTTATAGAAATGTCATTCATCTGTATATATAACTCACTGTCACCAGTAAAACTGTCAAATAAAAATATAGAATATACCATACTTTAGTTTCATTCCACTTTACAACTTGATATCAGATTGTTATTAACTTATTTCATACAGTAGTTATACAAACTTTGATTAATTCTGCATACCTGATTTAATGCATCCTAAATTCGCAGAACATTGAGTGTTTTTATGTTGCATATATTATGTGATGTTACAGAAATTTTGTTTTAGAGTGGCAACATCTCAAAATTGGTTGGTCAGTATAGGATTATTTTCATGAACAATTGATCTTCAGTGTTGACCCACAGTTTTTCAACCTTTGTTTTGGATTTCTTTTCCTTCATTATTTTGGGATCAAGCATCATAGAAGAGAAATTTAATGACGTCAACAACTGGCTTCTAAAGATGTATTGAAATATAGAAAATACTTTTTCCCATGTGCAGTCTAAAAAATTCACATGAGATGAAGGCATCAATATATAACAAGTTAGTGAATGAATGGTGTATTTCCAATTTGCAGGTTTGAATAGGAACCTTTGTTTTTAGGATATACATCATTCTTTTTTCCTTACAGATTTTTCTTAAAAAATTACATGCATGTTCCTATATCTCATAGGTTCATGTAGTTCAGATTGAAATTGATTGTAGTTCAGAGTCTTTCGCTTCATTTATGCATCACTGAATTTTTAAATTCTACAGTCAAATGGTAAAGAAATGCATTATAGTTTATCAATATTTTACTGTAAGTAGGAAGGTATTTTGAAGGTATACAATTTAGCCCACTGTTTTGATTTGAGGACCATTGATAAGTTTTCTTTTAATAGACGAAACGTGTCAGAGGTACCAAATTATAAGCCTGTTATCTTTGATTAGTTCCGACAAATATAGACGCCTATTTACCATAGAAATAAAACCGTTGTACATAGAACTCCTCTTTATGTGGTTTATATATGCAAGTTTTTATTATACTCTGTACATTCATACTGAAATTCTCATTTTTTTCTTCCATTCACCTATTGAATTAATGACATGATGAAAAAATTGATCTCAATAGTTTAAAATGTTGAATATTTGGTATTCCTACTCCTTTCTGCTGACAAGTACTCATTGACTTTGTTTTGTTTTAAAAAAAAAACCTGTCAATCATTCGGAAATACTGCATTTTGGTTTTATCAAAATAATCTTGTTTTGATTTGTTAAATATTGTCTATTGAGGTAATGATTCTGAATACTTTGAACATCTTTAAAAGCATGCTGTCTAAACAATGTTCCATTGAGGAGTAATCAATTTTTTTTGAACGATATTATTGTAACCATTTGAAAAAACATCTAACAAAAACTGCAGTGTATGTAGACTTTTAATTTTAAGGTAACTTGATTTGATTTCAAAATACTTTGCACTTTACTATATAACAATTGCAATAGGTTGAACTAAATATGGAGAAAGTACACATCATAAAACCACTATTGCATTAATGTAATAAAACTAGCCTACCCTGTCAATTCCGGTCTTACCATGCATCTGGCAAACCTAAGTATAAGCCTGGAATCAGAGATATTACCAATTTTCTTTTTGACTTGCACGACCAAAAATCTGTCTTATAAAATTTATGTAAATTATTATGGCTTGTATTGCTTCTTATCTTGAAAATTTTACTGGCCTGGGCTGTAGGGCTTGTGGTTAATCGTAAAGAATGCAATTCTTGAGGCTTAAATGTCCATTTGTAAGCTATCAGAGATAAGACAGAACTTGAAGGCTATCGTCACACTATGTGAGGTAATTAAATCACTGTCATCTTGCATGTATCCTCAAAGGATGCACCATGGTTCTGTCCTGTTGCACAAGAACTAAAAAATCAGCTAAATTGAATTGATTGAGTGTAATTCTACGCTCATACAGCATGAAAAGGCTATATCGAGGCAACTTACTTAAAATAGATGATATAAAATGAAGGTAGAACCACTGCCACATCAAATTGGAGAGTTAGCCTACCATTAACAAGTAAATCTTTACTAAATAGAATCAACTAACATTACTTAAGAAATATCAAGCTTCTTTATAAAAAGTTGAGGTCTGATATATGGTCACTTGAATAAAGACCAGTCCATGTGATCTTTTGTCACCACATACAAACAGTCAGTTGTAAACACTTAAAAACACACCAGGTTTCCAACTAAGGAATATTTCGGCTATCATGATCAGAGCTTCTAGATATTCATCATACATGTATAGGTATTTGTATTGCCTAACTATTGAAAACAGTTGAATCATTCAAACAAAAATGATAAGTCAAAGTTTTGCATTTGTAGTAAAATTTTGTTCTTGCCATATTGAAACAAAATATATAATTTCTTGTAAGGTAATTACCTAGTGTGGTAACTTTAGCTTATCGGCGAAACAGATTGTCACACACTATCTAATTAACTTTGTTAGCCTGTTTATTTAAGTTGTAAGGTATTCTCAAAATGTTTTTACTCTCGGCTAGCGGGGACCCGATCTTACATTTGAGACTGAAAAATGAGTTATCTTTTTGTGACTAAAACATCAAATGTATGGAACTCAAAGGTTTGGTATGACATAATGATTTATGTAATGAGTATATTAATTGTTTCTCTGACAGTCGCTTAGGGCATGGATCCCCCATTTTTTTATGCTAAGTTTTACCCTTGTCCGTCTGTACGTCCATACGTCCTGAAATTGGTTTCCGTTCTCTCACTTAGTTTGCCTCAACCAAATGTTTTGAATCTTGTACACAATGGTTGTCATTTGTTTATGTGTTTTTCGTTCATTTTTTGTACATAAATTAGGCCGTTAGTTTTCTCGTTTGAATTTTTTTACATTGTCATTTCGGGGCCTTTTATAGCTGACTGTGCGGTATGGGCTTTGCTCATTGTTGAAGGCCGTATCGTGACCTATAGTTGTTAATTTCTGTGTCATTTGGTCTCTTGTGGAGAGTTGTCTCATTGGCAATCCTACCACATCTTCTGTTTTATATTTATAACCACAAGTTTGCCTCAACCAAATATTTATCTTATACACAATGCTTATAGCCACAAAACACAGATCCAAGTTTGAATATTGGTGGCGTCACTTGTACTGTTCTAGAGTTTTCCCCTTTACAGATGGAAGCATTGCTGAATTTTTCGTTTCTGTTCTCTAACATCAGTCTGCCTCAACCAAATATTATTAAACTTTTACACAATGCTTATTACCCCAAAACTCAGATCAAGTACGAATATGTGTGACATCACTTTTACTGTTCTTGAGTTATATCCCTTTATAACATTATATGCAAGCGGGGGCATCATCGGAGTCCCATGGACACAATCCCTATTTATTTTAAAAAAAATTCATTTAATGTGTTATTTTTATAAATATTCTGAAATATTTTAACTCATTTTATGTATTCTTGCTCAATCCAATATAATCCTGCTATAACTAGTTTACAACTTGCTGCCCGCTACTATTATTTTCTACTGCACATATAAACAACTGTTATCGTGAAACTATATGGATAAGAGCATGATCACATTAAATTAGGAAAAATGAGTTGAAACATTATAGAATAATTAAAAAAATCTTGGAACATCTAAAAAGAGAAGAAAAATGGAGAATCCATACCACAAGCACAAGTTTGTGACTTTGGCAATACAAGGTAAATAGCATCTCCTAGTTCTTTGGTTTGTCTTCTTAAATTACAAACTCTTCAGCATGTATAATTTCGTTGTGTTAATCTGATAAAGTTATATGTCCACTTATGATGAAAATGGAGATAGCTATATACACTGAACTGCAGTCAAGTTTAGCGTTTGATAATTCATTGATGACATTCTGGCGTATCACAAACAAACAACTTGTAACGTCTCATTTCATTGGCCGAAAGATTCAAATACAACAACAATCGTAGTGCACGTGAATTGACACAGGTGACTGACAATGGAATGTACTATTTTACTACGAACGTAAAAACAAGGATTTGTATAGTTTACAAATCTTTGGTCAAAAGAATTAAATAAATGTTTCAGTGTGAATTTCAAATAGTGGGGTCGAAATATTATACTGCAGCAACACAATTATCTTGTACCGCATTATGAAAAATAGAAGGATAAACTAAAATACATGTGCCGCTTTTATACGGATGAATAATGAACCACTTTTAATTTCTTTCATACTGACGCTAGGTTATTATCCTGACAATGTCGTAGTTACTTATAGTATAAAGGATTTTATAATACTGATCCATTACAATAATTTATGATGGGTTGCACATTCCTCTTTTATTGTTTTCATGCTATGAAACGATCACACAGAACGTCACACAGTTGCGTTTGGTCATTCAGAAATAACGCATCATAAACGGAGCAAATTGTCCCCGAAAGATAGAAACAAAACAACAATAACCGTATCATTTGTGCACGTGAATGATGACGTAGTATGCAATGTACTATCATGGTCACCACGAAATTGAAATGAATTCAGTGAAGGCATGTTGGTGTAAAAAGGATTGAAATGTTACATCGGCGAAGATTTTTTTCTTTTGCATGTGTGGAACTAAAAAATAAATAAATACTTGTGAGAAATATCGTAGTTTATAAGGAACAATATAAATGTACTGTTTTCGATTTTAATTGGATGACAATTTATCTTTTAATTTCATACCGTAAGAATAGAGCTTTGCATAACATTGTTGAACTATCCGCCAAAGTGACGTGTAGTATGCATGCGTATTTAAAATGAAATACAAAATCATACATGTATGATAAACTGATAAACGAAATATTAAGAAATTAAGGATGACTAAATGCATGTACCCGTGAATGAAGGTGAATGTTTGACTTCTTCATCATTAAGAAGGGACTCACCTTTTTATCAATACATATAATGAATAAACACGTTTTTAAAACTGATTGTTTTCTATGTAACTATTTAAAAATTTACAATATATAATTTACGTTCGTTTTTCAACCGAGAATAGCAAAACAGTTAATTATAAATTCATGAAGTATATCGCTGGAGTTTATAAAGTACATTTCTTTCCACTGTGCCATGGT